CAAAATGCTATGCATATCTCGTGAAGATCCAGCCTTTTCAATGTTATTACGCTTAAATCGTTGATTATAACAAATAAACAACCGTATTCAATAAGCTGTATTTTCCTACTGTTTGTGAATCTATTTGACATAAAAGTGTTTTTGTGATTGAAGATACGTTAGTTGACAAGGCCAACAGGCAGCTAAGCCGCTTTTGCTGTGCAGAACATACCACTGTTGTGTTGTGGTCGTTTGCTGTCCTAGTGACGATAAACATCGTTCCCTAGCTTGTTTTGCAGCAGTTCCTAATAGCTTGTTTTGATGCTGGACTGATGCGCCAATTGGACAGTATCGTCAACTACATAAAAAATCAAGCGATTAGGAGAAGGTCACAACATTGTATGTGCTTATCTGGCTAAATCACTCTGAAGACTGACTAAAGTCCGCAAGGATTATGAAGCGTTAAGTTCACAAAACCATTGACCCAAACAATTGGTTGATTACTTGCCGGATTTTAATTATGTGATACATTAGAAATAGGATTTCAGACCTGTCTTTATATAAAAAAATTTCGTTGAATTTTCTGCCGTTATGGAGAACATTTGCTTTGGCGCCGACTGTTATACAAACGCGAATTCATCTTCAGAAAGCATTATTAGTAGTAGCTTAACATGCCACAAAGATTTCATTAAATTTGTAGAGATTCATAATTTCATTGTATTTCAATTTCCCTCTTAAAATCAAACAGGCTGGTTTAACGGCACTGATAGCTCGATGTAGGAGATATAATAAAGAATTTCGAGCTCGGTTGTCTTCAGATGAAGTAATCAAAAGATGACTTATTGCTCTGAATGAAGAACGAATTTGTACGAAATAAGATCTACTTAATATTATTAAATGATTACCGTATACCATCCAGTTTGCTAATTAGCGCTGCGGCATCAGACATTGTATTAAAAACCAACATAGACTGTACTGGAGTGCGGGGATTCGTGATGATGGAAGTTTGTTTGGTTCAAGTTTGGATAATAAAACTCTCAAGGTGAAAAATTGCTAGTTGTCATTAGAACATGCATTATTCTTACTAAAGTGGGATGCATTTTGGAATTTTTCTACTAAAGATTTTTTACAATTTATTGGGAATTTCTAATTTCTTAAAATGTCCTTGAAAGAGTTTAGAAATTTTATAGAGTCTAAAGAAGTTTCCTTGCAGGTAGAAACTTTCACCTACAAGGTTTAGTAATGAGCGTACAGGATTCCCAAAATTAAAGCCATAGCTAAAGTCGGCAGACGAGAAGTTGTCGCGAGTTCCATTGTCGGTCTTTTTTCAGTCAAAATTCTATTATGCAAAATTCAAAATACTATATATGCAATGTTGTATAATCTAAATTTAATGAAATTAAAATATGTACGAGGATTATCATTGAATAAAGTTAAAATTTGAAAGCTGCAGACTTGTAACATTTACATATTAGTCCATTTCAATGCTTCATTAAAAGTAGCAATCTTTCAGCTGATTTCATTTTATTTAGGAAGCTGTTCCATATTTAAGGCCTAGCGAATTAAGACTTTGCAAACCACTAGCTTTAATCTTGTATGCTTCGAGTCATAAAGATTTCTGGAGAAATAGTGTAAAGATTTGAGATCGAAGAATTCTTTTCCTTTCATAAATGGTGGATTTAGATTATTCATGGTTTTGTGGATTTCAATGCAAAGTTTTTTTGACGCGAGACCTGAAAAACATACGATTGTCTCTCTTTACTTCGTTCTTTCTTTCGATTATCGCAGCTGTGGCTTCCGCGGGATATAGGAAAGAAGACGCCAGCCTTGTGAGTCATTCTTTGGCTTCGGAAGCTTGCCCAGGGACAGTAAAATCAATTTCTTTTAACTAGATGATTTTTGACTATGGTTTCACCCCGGTTGAGAGAAACCAATTATTAAAACTTGGGTTTGTGCTAATAATCTGAAGGACAGATTTCCAATATTTCTTGAACATTATAGAGATATGTTTAAAGAAAAAAATTTTTTTTATAAATATAAGATATAATGTGTAAGCTGCAACCTTTGTAGCTAGTAGAGTAGGTTGTGTCCGTGGGACAATTATAATTTTGTAGCTAGATTTAGCTTGTACTAGTATTGACGAAAGTGAGCCTTCCTTTGAACAGTGTTGGTATAAACAGGAATTTTTTTCAAGTTTAAAGCGAATAGTATTCTCACTAATGTAGCATTGTTAACAGCCTCAATGAGTTGCACAGGAATATTCCTTTTATCCGCTACTGTTATGCAACCAGGAAACATAATAAACCAATTTTAAACGAGCCTAGTAAAAGTGATTGATTTGACAGTGATAAGTTCTTTGTTGCCGCTTTGTGTTTTATTCAAAGAGCAGAATGATTGGAGTCCGAAACTAAGGATACTGCGTCATAAACTTTTCAGCTTTCATTTGTTTGTGGACGAAGTCTAAATTAATAAAAAGCTGCAACGCTCAAATATGCAGAGCATCGCTCGCCTTCTTTATCAATGTTTTCCACGGTTTTGGCTTCCTTGCTGCTTGTTAAATCATCATACCGGGTAATCACCATCTGTATTGTATTTACATTTCATTGTTTGCTACCTAGCTCCCAAAGGAAGTCTTAGGACATTGAAAAGCTTTGCTTATCGAGCAGTACCCTGGTCCTGCCTCATGATGTGACCACATCTCGTGATTCCTACGCCTGGAATTACAGAGAGCTTATGACTCTCTTCTCTCTGAGGGAATATTTGGTCATGCCAGGATTTTCTTTTAGGTAGATGATTATTTTATAGGAATTTATCGAGACCTGTCATAATCCTTTCTCCATCTCCATCTAAGTTATTGAAATCGTTCTTTATCCTGTGGTTTCTGCACCTTAATGTCTTTTTGCTCCATGAATTCTAACGTGTCTCTGACAAATAAACTTGCTTCTTTATTTGGGTCATTTAACATGATCCCTCCAAAACTGGCTATTCAAGACGGTTTGTTTTTGTCTCTCGACCAATGCTGTCTCAAAGTCTTGAGAAAACAGCAATTCTACGACAAAGGATCACGAGATAGGTGAACGAAAAGAGGGAAGTGTAAGTACCACGCTATAAAACATTAAATCTAAACTCTTCGATAAAATTTAGTATTCAGAGATTTCGCCTTTTGGCTAGGTGTAGTATAGACAGTATCTTGTACTGTTGAACAAAGCTATAATAACTACTGTAGAAAGGTTGCCCTGCGAATTTCGATGCACCACGTTGCATGCTTAACTTTTGGCCGTTTCAAAGAAGGACTTATCTTTAAATTTACTTATCTCTAAATACATAGACGGTTGTGCTGATTAAGGTTTTTCATGCAAGGAATTTCAGTTCTTTGCACAAAATCTACTAATGACACCAGTTGTATTCCAAACAGCAAAGATTTTATCTCCGTGAATTTTATGAAGAAACTAAAGGAATTTCGTAATCGCTAGGTGAAAATGTTTCTCACTTCATTTGCAATGATCTTGAATTCAGCTTTTCATGTAGTGGTTCCTTGTCATCGACATTCCTTTGATGATAAAGTTGCTATGAAATCATGTGATAATTTTGGACTCTGGATGTTATTTGTTGCATAGATCTGTGTTACGTTTCCTCCCTTTTTTAAGCAATACCATGCATGTTCAGTTGATGTTTCATATCCATACCTATGCTAGCTGAAAATCCTGGCCAGCGAATACCAAGGGCACAAAGTAATCTGTCCGACGAACATTTGGCACCAAATTGTAATTAAATTGAATCCCTGTAGGGCGTGTCCCAAATAACCCTGAATTTTAATTTATCGAGCTGATTTTCAATTCCTTCTGGATTTTCCTATCTTATTAAAGTCAAAGTCGTTTTCCAGATAAGTCGGACATTTGAAAAGTCGGACAGTTTCCTTATACCTCTTGAAGGTCCGATTCAATAAGATACTTTATCAGTTTGTTTTTATGCATAAAACGTTTCTATTGATGACAGTATTCATGTCATTTCACATGATTATATTGATGACTGTTTGCATACCATACTGATAAGTCAATTATGGATATGAAATACATGTATTATCATTGTTATTATTATCAAAATCGTGAAGTTAGTCTCCCGCTACCTCCTATAAGCATTCAGGACTCGCGGGCATGCTCTCTACGTATGTGTCCACATTGGCCTTTGTGATGTTATTCTGTAATTTGAAAAATGATGCGTGTTATTAATGCTTTGACATTTGTATTCACGCCAGCCTTTTATAGGTATGATGAAATAGATGCATTTGTTTTGACAATTGAAAATTCAAATCAGTCAATTATACATTGGAGTTTATCTTGCTGCCGAACATACTTCTATTTTCTATTGTTAAACTCAATTTTGCAGACGAACAGGTGAATTTCTAGCGATTTAACGATGAACTTTCAATAGGTTGCTCGACTGTGAATGTCGTGGGTTTGCGAAAGTTAGGACTCTTCGCAATTAGGATAAAGTGTTTGGTTCTATGCGACAACAACATAAATGTAAGTTACTGTAGATTTTCCTTAGGATGTTTGCACATCGTTTTAATGAGAAAATATGCTGCTAAGGGCGGGATGTAATTATAAGAACCACACCACTCGCACCTATATAAGTCAGCTTTACGACTGACTGTGAAATACTTCACATTTTCGTATTAGTTTTGTGTGTGAGTTATAATAACATCAGGTAGCGTATAATGGGGGCTAAACCACTGCAATTATTGACTCCTTGATCAGCCTTTTGTCAACCCGTTGTGTTTTACACTACGTCTTATCTGCACTTAATACTTCTGGCCTTCAAAGAGATTTGTTGAAGTTAAATAAGCTTTCTCTTAATTCTAGCTGTCTTCCCAAAACCAGAGAATTTTACCACTACCCGACCGACATTTTTAAGCTCGTGCTAAACAAAATTCCTTGCAAATTCACTGTGATTCCAGTACAAAAATGATTTGGTAGCGTCAGTCTTTGTGTCAGGTAAAGTGCTGTTATTTCAACTTTATAGATAAATTGCACCTTGACTTTTTGATCCGTCGCTTGTAGAAACAGAAAGAAAATTTCTTACTTTAATGAGAGCTGTGCTGGATGCGTGAATAGTTTATTGTGTGTGGTTAATAAAGGAATGTAATTCACCCATTTCAAGGAAAGTAGACGTAATCTTGTTAATTAACTTGCTAAAATCAATATTATTTCGTGAAAAAACATCAAAATCAGCTTTTATTGCAAAGAAAAACGTCGAAATGCCTCCAAGCACGCAACCATCGAAAGATAATTTTTAGCGGCGAGGTACCAACTTTGATTTATTTTCTAGTTCGATAAATCTGAATAATAGATTATCGTATTGGAAGAAATTACCGATATTTTTAAAATTGCATTTATGAATGTTGTATCCGAGTACCAACAATTTGGTGTAGCTTTAAATTCATGATTTGTGGTCATTTTTTATGGTATTAATTTATGATTTGGGCATCCTCATTTTCATGTCCTGTTAGGAACGTAGAAGAAAAGAGATAAAAACTTTGTTGCGATTTTACCACACTGTGTTCAGTGGCAGAAATTCATTTTCCAGGTGGGGAGGGGGGGGGGGGACAAAGCCCAAAGAAACCTGCAAATTTGCCGACTAATAACATACTTCACTACAAAAGCGTGTTTTAACCGACAATTTTGCAAAATCTGGGGTGCTCACCTCTTTCCCCACACCCCCACGCAATTTCCGCCACTGACTGTACCCCTTTCTTGTCGACTGCTTAAATTAGACCAACCGCCTCAAGTGCTGTCACATTTTAGCAGCAGCAGCATCACATCAAAGATATCAGTCCAGTCCAGTCTAGTCCAGCCCAGTCCAGTTCTGCCCAGTTGAGGCCAGTTCGGGTCAGGTCAGGCCAGGCAAGATCAGGTCATGTCATGTCAGGTAATTTCAGGTCAGGTCAGGTCAGTTCTGTTCAATTCAGTTCTGTTCAGTTCAGGTCAATTCAAATCAGTTCAGGTCAGTTCAGTTCAGAATTCCACTGCGTTGATACAGTTTGTTACAAGTACACATGTAAACACTTGAATGCTAATGGTCGTTTGATAATATAAACATTATCGATATCAATTAAATAAACAAACACAATACAGAGAAGCAAGCTAAGATTACACAAAGGAAGAAACCTTTGAGGTAGAAAAAAATTTTCACGACCATTGGAAACTTTTTTACTTTAAATGGAGGGCAAATTGCGGTGATTTTAAAGATTTTTGTATTTGGAAAAGAAAGCAAAAAGAAATTATTTAATATTGGATAGCTATCTTATGGTGTGGTGCCTCAATTCTGGTAGATATTTTGGTAAATCATCATTTGCTGGTCCAAGTTCCAAGGATAGTAACAATGCTGTCCCTCTTCAACTACGACCAGTGCTTGTAAATTATCTATTTTCTAGTTTTATCAACTTTTCTTAACTATGCATAACTTCTTTACAAAATGATTGACAAAGCAGTTTAGTAACTGAACGGTTACCCTGTATAAGTGAGTTTTCGATTGAGATAAAATCCAAATTCTCCTGGATTTACCAAATGTATTGGCACTATGAGTAATGAAAACCACAGTTGGTATGGCCATACTAAGAAAAATCTAAACAAGATAATCAAGGCAATCAATTTACCAAATGCACAAGGCAATGAGCTCCAATGACACTACAATGATTAAAATACAAAGAATAGTGATACATTTTTCTACCCTATTTGTTAATTAAACAATTGGGCGTTAGCTGAGAGTATTAATTTGTTAGCTCTAGGATATGGTAAATATACTTGATACAAACACTCTTGTTTCTTGTAAAATAGGTCTCCAAGAACAAGAAAAGCACTTACATTTTGTAGGTTGAAATTAGAATTAGCTGAAAGCTCTTATCCCGATAAGAAATTAGATGTTGTTGTAAGATTTTTTACCTATTTTCGTCTGCAAGGTTTGAGCAATTGTTGTCTTTGGTGGCTCCATATCCAGTGAATGAATCGAAGTTTCGCAAACCAGTAGGTGCTAAGAGAGACTATGTGTGACTCTTAAGCACCTTTTCTGGTGAATCGCATCTATCAGTTGGCATGAGCTATAGTCAGGGGTGGATCCAGCAAAAAATCTGACTTAGTTCCAGGCCAAGGCTAGGGTCTTTTAGGTAATGCATTGATAAATGTGCCTAAGACAACTGAATTATCCACATTTATGCATTTTGGTATTTTTTTGGGGGGGGGGGTGGTAGGTACTACCCACTCACTAAATCTAGATTATAGATTTCTTTCCGACAGAAACCAGTGCCTCTGTGAAAATTGCTGCAACCCCCTTTCTTTCTAAATACCCTCTTGTTTATCTTGGATGCCACAGCAAATTTTTCCCTTTTGTTTTACTCGCAATTTTTTGTTTTGCCTACGTAGACACCAGCCTATTTATCAAAATACGGTGTTCCGTCTGACCATAGGTCTCTCTTGCCATCAACGATTGCAATTTCAAATAAAGGTAGTTAATTCTCCTCGAAAATTAACGATACGTCCTGGTTTTATCTCAAACGATTAATAATCTGCTAGAATGCTGCGAGGGTCGTGAAATAAAACATCTGTAGTCGCCATTTCGAATTCAATGTTTTTCAGTTCAACTACTGGCTATTGTACAGCTCTCTTACAAATATGGTATCATTTCCGAGTTCCAGATGCTGTTTTGACTGAGTTCCATCCGTGTTTCAAACAAAAATTTCATTGTTTTAATTCATTCACTTCCGAGGCACAAAACGTTTATTTCCGAGTTCTAGGATTAACTGCTGTTGTCCTCCGCAGCGTCTGGAAAATCGTTTCAAAATCACGACAGAGAAGAAGGAAGGAAAAGGGCGAAGGCAATTTTAAGATTTTGAAGAGACTGTGATAAAAAATATAATTTCTAGGTTTCACTTTTTTAGTCTAAATATTACTTGTTTCAGGCAACACTATTTTTAGCTATATGTTGGAAAACTGACTGAGTTCTGTGCTCACTCTGGATCCAGTCTGGATCCGCCCCTGTATAGGATTAGCCCCAAAGCTGTTGATAGGATTATAAATTAAACATGTAACGTACTTGCAGCAAAAAATTTTATCATTTCTAATCCAACACGAAGCAGCTTTTGGACTCAGACATATGTACTACATAGGACGTCAAATTCGTCGGCGATAGAGAAAAGAGTTCAAATAGTTTGAACTTTCAAGGCGAACGTCGCGCACAGCACAGGAAACGAAAAAATTCAAATACGCATGCTCATAACCTTTCACCGGCGAAGAAGCGAAAAAATTTCGCCCAATGGAGATTGGCCTTCACACCGTCAGTAGCGGCGCCACGGGGGGAAGTTTTCAGCAAGATCAATTTTGCATTGCGTCTAAATCCGATGAGAAAATGTTGGGGGAGGGGTAATATTTTGGCAATGTACTTTTCGTGATGTGATGCGATGATTTTCAAACTGCCTTTACATAGCCAAAAGTTAGTCATGAGCGTTCTCTTTTGGTATAATTGGCTTTCCTCGTTAGTAAAAGGGCGTTTTCTGGTGCTAAAAAGGGCATGGCCTAATTTTTTTGTTTTGTCCGCCCAGAGCGTAGTGGTTTGCGCCGCCATTGCACACTTTATTTCCTTTAAATAGCGCCGCGGCGTTTATTTGGAAATCCAAATTTGAATGCGGTGTTCGATAGAGGGCGGCGTTTAGTACAAAATGAAAAGTTTGTTGAATGAAAAAATGACAAGAAAAGTGCCATGAAAAAAGTAAAAAATAGACTTTAAACAGTGTTTTCTTTTCCCAAAAACACGTAATAAGATTGAGTGAAATTTTTATTAAGCTCACAGAAATGTCAAGGACTGTCAACATTCGTGTCTCCGTCAGAGTCCCCGTCTCTATGACATAACAACTTGACATATGCAATTTCATAGCTTTCGAATACTAAGCGTATAAACTATTGGTGTGTTTTCTAATAAACGCCGCTTTTCAAGATGCGGCGTTCAGTAGAGGGCGGCGTTTATCTGAGGGCGGCGTTTATCGGAGGGCGGCGTTAATTAGAGGAAATACGGTTTTTATTTTATGTTGATTCGTATCACAGTGTCATAAGCCAGCGACTCAGGATAGTGACTGGGAGGGCAAATGTGGAAAGAAACTGTTTGTAGCAGGACGGGATGTATTCGGTATTCCAGAGCATTATCTGTTCAAATTATTGTTAAAGATCACACTACAACTCTCTGCGGGATAGTGAAATCGGAGGCCGACAAAAGCTTTTTGCGAAACACTTGCTGAAGCTAAGTAAATCCTTTCAATATCGTTCTGGAATTGATAAGCTCTTTTCACTTCGTTCTTACACAAACTGCGTTACATTTTATTTGATACTACTGCAATCATCTCTTACCCTTTTCGAAACTGAACGAGAATAAGCCTCTAGGTAGTAGCTGTGAGGAACATTAAATTGGCAATATTACATAGTAGGCGCTAACCCCCCCCCCCACACACTATTTTGCAATAACAGGGTAGAAATTTGCAATAATAACAGATTTACACTAACGCATCACATTAGTAGCAGATCTTCTTGACTGGGGACCCGTTTTTGTTCATTTTGTTTAATGACAAGTTGTACTTTCTTTATTGGTTTTGTATTGAATTGTAATGATGATAATGACGGAAGAAGCAAATATTTTCTGAAATGGGCGTTTTCCGGCGTTTTAAAGGGCGTGGCTTCAAATTATTTTTCGTGCAAGCCCCCAGCCTCCGTTTCAGCCCCCCCCCTTTTTGGACTGGCGCACGTTACAAACTAGATTGGATAAAGATCTTTTTTTCAAACAACGCGAAAAAGAAGAAGAAGAAACCATAAGTGAGAAAAGAGATAATTGCCATCTGCATTTTCGTTAGTTTCAACACTTTTCGACGCAAAACTATGTTGATAAAGAATTGGTGGGCTGAATGCAATTAAAAATTTCTCATCTGCCAAAAAGAGACTTAAGAAGTTTCACTCAGTTTTGGACCGGGCAAAAACTTAGCTGATTTCGCATTTTTGAATTATTTATGCTTAATCACGCAGAGTTCCTTACAGCTGCAAAGATATGGTACCAAAACCAAAAACACCTCAACCATTCTGCTCCAAAGTCTGGAAAACGATATTGTTTTAAGGAGGTTTTGAAGGTGCAAGGAAGAAAAAACAACTTTGACGGAGATCCGATAAAACAGTTCAAAGCAGTTTCATTTCGATACCTTTTTGCTGATAAATTAAGCTTCACTAAACGATGCTATTTTTCTTTTTAACCGAATCCACATATTGCAACCATATGGCACTATTGGCACCAAAATGGCTGTTCTCGGATATTATCTGTATTTGCCACGCCAAATATGTCACTCCCAGCAAAATACCAAGCCCAATTTTCTACAAAAATATTTGGATTTTTGAAATTTCTAATTTTTGGCACAGCTTCACTACATAGAAAGAAAAAATATTGCCAGGCTGACAAAAGCTTTTTGTAAAACACTTGCTGAAGCTAATTAATTCCTTCTAATATTATTTTGGAATTGATAAGCTCTTTTCGTCTTATTCTTACACGAACTGCGTTAGATTCTATTTGATATTACTGCAATTTTTTCTTGCCGTTTTCGAAATTTTTTGATATTTTCATATTCATCCAACACCAGAGGTCATGATTGTTATTATTATCAGCGCCGCAATTGTCATCGTCTTTGTCGTGAATCATCGCAATCGTCAGTTATATTGATCGTAATCATCGTCGTGATTTTCATCGTCATTCTCAGTTATCATCATTGTTAGTGAATGCATCGCTAGTTATCGTTAACGTAATGGTCATAATCTTCATTGTCATTTCCATCGTCAGTTATCGTCATCGTTAGTGAATGCATCGCTAGTTATCGTTAACGTAATGGTCATAATCTTCATTGTCATTTCCATCGTCAGTTATCGTCATCGTTAGTGAATGCATCGCTAGTTATCGTTAACGTAATGGTCATAATCTTCATTGTCATTTCCATCGTCAGTTATCGTCATCGTTAGTGAATGCATCGCTAGTTATCGTTAACGTAATGGTCATAATCTTCATTGTCATTTCCATCGTCAGTTATCGTCATCGTTAGTGATGCATCGCTAGTTATCGTAAAGTAACGGTCATAATCTTCATTGTCATTTCCATCGTCAGTTATCGTCATCGTTAGTGAATGCATCGCTAGTTATCGTAAAGGTAATGGTCATAATCTTCATTGTCATTTCCATCGTCAGTTATCGTCATCGTTAGTGAATGCATCGCTAGTTATCGTAAAGTAACGGTCATAATCTTCATTGTCATCTCCATCGTCAGTTATCGTCATCGTTAGTGATGCATCGCTAGTTATCGTAAACGTAATGGTCATAATCTTCATTGTCATTTCCATCGTCAGTTATCGTCATCGTTAGTGAATGCATCGCTACTTATCGTAAAGGTAATGTTCATAATCTTCATTGTCATTTCCATCGTCAGTTATCGTCATCGTTAGTGATGCATCGCTAGTTATCGTAAACGTAATGGTCATAATCTTCATTGACATCTCCATCGTCAGTTATCGTCAGTTAACGTCTTAATAATGCTGAAAAGAGCCAAGTAATCTTCATCATGCTTGCATGTGCTTTCAACTAGCATCAAAAGAAGTAGACCTAGCACGCTAACACAAGATTCATAATATCCAGTAGTTGTAACGCTTCCGTTTGTGGCAAGTTGCTGTTTGGGAACTCACTTGAACTTTAGTACTCATCTGATTGTTGCGAAGAAGGACGAAAGCTTTGAACCTCATCAAGTGAACTTTGAAGCTTGATTTTTACAACACGGAAAAGCAGAAAAAAGGCATACTAAAGTGCTTTTTGCCCAACATTTAATAATTAGCATGTACCTTATGTTTTGACTTGAATATGCTTTTTTCACTTTTTGAATTTTCGCTAAAGGCTTATTTGTTTATCTTCGTATCTGTTTTCAAAGGACCTCGTGCAACAGTTAAACTTCTACGAACCAGTACTTTAAACAAGAGGGTAATGTTAGGGTGACAGTTACACAGAGCAATATAATAAGGGTAGATCTGAAATAAAGTATTGTACAGGCATAGCAAACTAACGATTCCCATGTTACACCTGCCTCTTAAGTCCAAATTGTAATCACACGCATATGCGATATCGTCGTGTCGTTACAAGCGAGGATCTGTAGCCCAGCTACTGATTCTAAATATCAGTTCATGTTAAGCAATAACTATGTCGATTTCTAGAAACAGTTATTTTAACCCAAACCTGAGCCTTGTGTTTCTCATAGCTTGCTAGTTAAGGTTTGACATATGTTTAGGTCTTCTGATCTTGTTTTTGCGTCTAACTAGGGCAGGTCGATTAACAATGTTCTTATGTGAGGGTTGCCAAGTTTTTATCATACTGCAATCTGATACATAGACGATTGAATCCAAAATCATCATCTGCTCTTCCTATAAATGGTTTAGTTTTGAATATTAGGTTTTAGAGTCCTTTTAAGCCTACAGTTGAAGAATTGTTTTATTTTTCCTCTGTTTGATAGCTTAGTTCGCACATGAAAATGTATCTGAGTTTCACGATCGAAAAATGCTTCTGCAGTTTTCAACCTTACATGCATTTAAAACGACAGCTTTTGCCATCTGAAAAATTCAGAGCAGAACAGGTGCCAGCATGGTCTGCTTCGACGAAATTTGCATAACAGCGCTTGTTGTTGCTAGGCAACATGACAGCGCTATGCAAATGGCCTGCAGACCAATGGTGAAGAAGCCAACACATGCTTCTTCTCAATTAGACTTATGCCAATTAGGTCAAGGTTAAAAGAGGAGCCTTGTGTCAGAAAGATTTACATAAAACCTAGCTTGTGGATAGCAGATCATCGTTTAAGTGTCACATTTGATCGAACACGGAGAGTGAGAGGGAAACAATCTTACACAAAGGCACAAATAACTTCAAAAGATAAAGACACTTATTGTTGTATCGCCACATTTTGCCAACCGCACAAAAGGAATTGATTGGCTGGAGCGGAGCAAGCTGTCAAAAGCCTATCAAAAGATTCGTCATTAGTGTAAGAAATTTCCTGTTTGCTGTATTTGTGCATAACAGTCTTGAAATTTGAAAAGTTTATTTCTTTAAACATGTTTTAAGGAGTTTAGCAATAATATTATTGACAAAACAATATTACGTTTCTTTTAAACGACGATAATACTTGAATTATCTGTTTCAACTCAAAAGTGCCGTATGTTTCAACTAAAAGAACTTGTCGTTTGCAATAGCTATGATTTAGTGAAAAAAATATATACCACTCCGCTACTAAACGAGTTAGAATATTTCGCAAATTCATTAAGCAAATTTAGCTTACGAGAGTTATTCTGTACTTAATGAGATTTTGTCCTTGATAAACTAAAGTTAGCGCGATTTCGATTAAGGATCGGCAAACATGATTTAGTGTCATTAAGAACATGCTGTAACAAGAAACATCTATTCAATTTTTGTAAATTGAAGCTAATTTGTAATCAACTCGCGTAGAGTTTTAAATTACGTGATGTCCTAACAAGATTTAACATGATGTTTCCATTCAGTTAAGGTATCAAAAAATTGCCTTTTTGAAAGTCGTTTAATCTCCGAAAACTTTGAAACATAATGTCGACAGATAAATTGATGCTGCTCGGTTGAGGTCTCATAAAAGCTATTTAAAATCAGGTTCCCACGAGGAAAGTCGGGAACTTTCTAATAAAATAAAAAGGAAGTTCTTGATTGGTTTTACTGTTATTACAAGAGAATATTGATATCTGACAGTCAAGGTACAAGACAACTTAGTGAGAGTTATCTTCCGGAATTTCTACTTAATTTTAGAGTTTGTTTTTTTGTATTTTTTTTAACGGACATAATTTTTACCATTCACAGCTATTTGCATGAATCTTGGCAAATCAAATACTAGCAATACAAATGATTGTGCTATTGCGTAATGCGAGGAAAAAATTAACTCTTGTATACAGCGTAAGAGATTTTCCCAAAAACAAAGGTTTTCCAGGAAATTCAAGATAAAATAATAGGTTTTCCGCAAAAGGTATTGACGGAGGAATTTGTCCCTAAGCGTTTTGTGTGTAATTTCACGATTATTATGGACCATCCGGATATGGGAGCTTTTTGCCGCCATGTGAGCGAAATAAATTTTATATTGCTATAACTCTTGTATATTGTCGTGAATGGCATTTTATTAGATCTATGAAAATGGCTTTGAAAAAAGCAAACATTTAGTAAACTAAAGCTTTTCGTCTGACACTCTTCAGAGTTTAAACCTTAGAACATAGACCGAAAACTCTACGCTGAGTTTTCGATCTATGTTCTGTCGTTTTAAACTCTGAAGAGTATGAGACGAAAAGCTTTAGTTTACTAAATGTTTCCTTTTTCAAAGCCATTTTCAAGTTTTGTACCACCAAAAGATTGTTTAAATCTATGAACAAAATCTATGAAATTGCAACTTTAAAAGCAGTAATTTAATGACTATAATATATAGGAGCAGTCAACGTAGGACTCCCTCAAAGAGATTCTTTCATCTGGTGCGAAAATAACTATATGTCGATTTGTGCATTATTCTGGCTTGTACCATAGCCATTTTTTGATGCAATTAAATAGACATCGATCATGGATGATTTGATTTCTTTTTATCTTATTGAAATGTCATCAATTTGGAAGGCACTAGTCAGTGGGCTCTTTGAAGAGCTTAATTGAATTCGCGCCAGTTCTGCGAACACTACCCTCCAAGCTCAAAAGGCAAATATCCTGCAAAGTTTTTGTATTACTATACGACATTTCGTTTAAAAGCAATGACACATAATTATCAAATAAAGCGCTAGATTTGAAGCTAAATCGTTTTTTTCAGTATACTCTTATCTAAATGCTAAGCTAAGGGCACGCAGCTACTTAAAGCTAAGTACTTAATGCTTAAAGGTTATGATTTCATTCTTTTCTAAATATTGGTTCCTCGAAAAAATTCGTAGATTGAACAATGTGATATAAATAAAGAGCTGAATGCGCATTTTATGCTTGCAAGCATCTTGTCTCCGATCTACGTAAGTCTTCCTAAGGCATAATGCTCTATAAAGTTTGTTATGATTGTTGAAACTGCATTTACTTTGCTCATACTCAGAAAGAATTGCCAAATCAAGTTGCTGAATTTAAAATTCCGATAAACTGAATGCTTTACGAATAGATCTTCCACTGCCTGTTAAAGTTATGCGGAATGGAAAGGCGTTTTTGCAGTTGAGATACTTCATCTTTGATATCAAAGAAGCTGGAAAATAGAAAGATGGCGAGAAAAATTGAAATATTTGATAAGCCTGTTTGAATGTTTATGATTTGTCTTTCATTCCCAAATTTCACATCAGTAAACCATATTTAAACTGATCTATAAGGGGTTGATAGTTCCACAATAACACATTGATATTCAAAAGTCAACCATTCAAGCATATGGTATTTAAACTGTTTGCGATAAAGATTGAATGCGATAAACTTGCAATGCAATTTTTTATTAGCTGAAGTATATATCTCGCTGAATTTGAACAGCCTAATGACACAGTCACGAATGCCATTATCTCAATGCCACGATTCCCATTCTTTTGTTTACATTATCCCAGTAAAATTTAACTATCATGCTGTAAGACTGCAAGTTTCGCAAAGATTATCGCGCAACACATACTGATTTTGCCCAAGAGAAAAAAGTTGCAAAGAGGGCTGCACATATTTGATGTAAGGAAAAATTATGCGAGTCCAGCTTGCAACCCATTGATGTATTTCAATATTTTATTAGGACCGAAATAAACAAAAAAGAAATTTGAATCCCTTTTGTCACATACTGTGAAAAGTCCAAAAATTATAATCGGTGTGTTTGTGCTTTTGCCTGTTTGTAAGTGAGAATCCCCTTGTAAATTTTGCTGTAAACTGCGTCTTCCTAAATTTTCTTTGATGCGTGCAAGAGGGCTACCCAATTGCAGGAACGGATAAATTGTCTTAGGTAAGGAAAGACCGATAGCTTTCATTGTAAAGCAAAAATTGTTTATCAAGAATTTCGTTTAAAAAGTTTTGGTTAAACGGGGATAATTATGACAGAAAAAATCATTCCCTAAATTATGAAACAAGTTTCAGTGTCTGTGACTCCATTGTGATTTTGAACGAATACGTCATATGTCAAAAAACGAAGGCAATTTTCGACGAAGACTTTTTGAATTTGACCCAGTCAACGACACGCTAAAAAGTTGCTTATTTGGAGATCATTTCGACCAAAGTTGTGTTCAATGAAAGATTTGAAATTAGATTTCCTTCTTTGATTCGTGTAGTATTAAGTCAAAATCTCAATTTATTGGAAACAAAAACAACAATTAGAAGAAGTGAACAAGCTTTCCAGGATTAGAACTCAATTCGTGATTAAGTCTAAGTGTTCTTCTGTTTGCAAAACTTTTTTCGACAGGTGTTTTCCGCATATCGTGGAATCAGAGAAACTAAAAATCCCAATGTGCAGTTTCTTGCGACTGTTTCAGCTTACAGAATATCTTAAGCTACGTTGCCTAATCAAACTCTGGAAAGTTGAAATCTTAGAAAAATAATTGGTGGCCCTTCCCTAGAAATAGTTGTAGTTGTGTGCGAGGATGACTCAAAGTTAGGGTCGCTGACTACAGATACAAGGGTTTAGGCATTGCCGACTTCCACAAAGTGTGAAAAAATCAGCCAGCTCTCTGCAATTCCAAACGTAGGAATCACGAGACGTGGTCGTATCGAAAGGAAAGGCCAGGACACTCATAAGCACTGTTTTTCATTTCTTAAATACTACCTTTGCATGTTAGGTAGAAACAAATACAAATGTAAAATAAAATAAGTTGTAAAACGATCAACGCCAAGTGACACTATATACTATCTTTGGTGACGTTTAAACGTGATTTCTTTCAATCCATATAGAACTTATAGAACTTAGAACTTATCGATCCATATCAACAGCAAGGAAATAAAATTTTATTGGAAATTATGTATTAAAATTTTAACAAGTTCATTTTGATAACAAAGTTTACACTGCTAAGCTTTTTGACCTAACAAAAAGATGCAACAAGACATGTTAATTCTGGCATGATTGAATTAAAAAAAAGTACAAAACCCGACAAGGACCTACTCCTTTAAGCAAATCACTTCTCCTAGAGGGCAGTGAAGGATTTTAAGTGACTCGGAACCGGCCAGGGAAACTTTGATTTGTGGTTAGAAATATTTTATCCCATGAAATACAGTCAAAAATTTCAATTTGTGGCTAAAGGAAGGGCTTATAGGAGCAAAGACATATATTCAGCGTATGGTTGAAATTCAATGTTCTCGCTGCTATTTGTAATTCTGACCACACCCCCCTTTTTACCATTTTCCGCCTTAATTTAGATTATTTTGTTAAAATATTGGGGACCAAATTCTATTAAATAACATAAATTGATAAATTGAAGAAAATTGAGTCAGCCTTCCTTGCATAACAATGGTTTGCTTAATCGTGCCTTTTTATTCCTTTGTAACAAACACACGCGTTCAGTAAACTTCTATTTATGGACATGTTTCATTCTAATCACTATAAGACAACGGACATTTCTAATCAATGTGGCACCCCTTATAACGGACACCTCTAAATAACGGAAACTTCTAATCAATGTGGCACTCCTAATAACGGACATCTCCTTTGAACGGACACCTCTAAATAACGGACACTTTTAATCACCTTCTGGGATGTTTTTGTCTGGAGGAAGTTTAACAACTTTTCTGGACTCTGCATACCAATTTTACCTCCGGTTTTGTCTCGTAAATCTTTCGTTACGGTGAATAGGTTAAAGAAAAACCCTCAGATTGCGAAAACCACGATTCAACTGTCACTCTAGTGGCTTAAATGCCTATTTTATGTTTTACTGTCTCACAATTTGAATGCTGTCTCAGTTTATCTATAAATAAGAAAGTTTACGTGTAAAGCATTAACAATTCAGATAATAATATTGTTAGAATTAATTCCGTCTATTTTTGCAATAAACCAAAATTTTAGTTTTCTTGACGTTGCTTTCCATTGCCTTTACATATAAAATGGCAAGCAGCACCGTGACATCTTGGAAGCCGTCTCTTGTCGATGTAAGGCTTAACTTGTATAAGAGAAATTTCTTTCCTAAACTGCTAAACTTTCGAGTTACCAATCAATGAACCCTGTAACACTTACAGGATTTAAAAATATATCTATGGAAAATATTTCTCTCTCCATTCATTGTTATTTACCTGTTTGATATGCTGTCGACAGGATTACAGTGCTTTAAGTAACTGGAAACAACAGATACCACAAGCACTGCCTAAGATGTAGACCATGTAAATAAGTAGCGTATCTGATAATTAACCAAAAGCCATTTAAGGAAAGCATTGATAAATTGTTGATTCTCACAAACAAATATATTTTCATTTGCGTGAACGAACGGTAACTTTATAGAGAATAAACATTTCAATTTTTCTTATTGTCGCTCAATTACTGAGCAATTTAGAGGATATGAACGTTTTCCATGAAAAATTAATGTCCACTCTATCTTGTTTCAGCTTGCCTAAATTCTCAGCAGAGGCTCAACGCAAGCCTCTAGAGACCAGCTTCTTGAAACAAATATGAATGGAAACATAGGATCAATGGCTCCAAGTCAAATCGAGCGCGGTCGCTACGCAATGCTTAATAAATACAGACGCAGCCTATCGATTGAATCCGGCAGTTATGCCCGCACAACTCTAAACAGGCAATCTTCGAAACTAAATGGCTCCTTTCCAACCGGGAATTTGCCCTCCGCAAGCTCGACGCCACGCCATTCGATTTCCGGATGCGATGGACCGACGCTTAAACCTAAACGGATAACTATTAACGTGTCCGGCGAGAAGTACCAGACTTACAAAGAAACACTGGATAGATTTCCTAAAACTTTGCTGGGCGATGCATCAAAGCGGAAACAATTTTTCGAAGAAGAGGAGAATGAGTATTTTTTCGACCGTGATCGTCATGCTTTCTCCGCCATTCTTTATTTCTATCAATCTGACGGACAAGTATACTGTCCGATAACAGTTCCGCTGCATGTTCTGGTGGCGGAAATAAAATTCTTTGAACTAGGACAGGATGCTTTGAATCAAGTTCTTGACAATGAAGGCCCAACCGTGGGCGAACTGCCGAAAAACAGATTGCAGAGGGAAATCTGGAAGTTATTTGAAATACCAGAATCTGGCGTGGCGGCGAATCTTTTGACGGTGTTTTCTGTTTTGATTATTATTTGTTCTGTAACGATACTGTGTATTGAGACGTTACCATATTTTAAAGGCTTCGACCCTTTGCCATCTGTCAAGGCTTTTGGTCGCAACAACTTCGCCCGTTATCCGTCAGTCCGTCAACCAATGTTCAATTCTCCGCCTTTGCCGCATTTCCTAAGATTCAGAAACGAGACCCCACCAATGCCAGATGCCTTGTTAAAAGCACCAAACACTGCCGTTCCTAATAAAAAGCAACCCAACCCGAACTGGCTGAAAATTTTTGAGCTCTGCGAAACTGGTATTGTAGCCTGGTTTACGCTGGAATTCTTAGTACGCCTCTTATCGTGCCCGAATAAATTGCAATTTTCAAAAAGCTGCATGAATATAATAGACTTGTTAGCAATTATACCGTACTATATTACTTTGGCGTTTGATGAACATGGGCTTGGTCTTGATAACATACGAATTATTCGCCTGGTGCGAGTTTTTAGGATATTCAAATTGTCAAGACACTCTCGTGGTTTGCAAATTTTGGGCCTAACATTGAAAGCAAGTATTCGAGAACTTGGCCTGCTAATCTTCTTTTTGTTAATCGGTGTGATATTATTCTCAAGTGCAATCTACTACGTCGAGGATCAAACATTTCAAAGCATTCCGGATGCCTTTTGGTGGGCAATAATAACCATGTGCACAGTTGGCTACGGCGACAAGGTGGGTATAATCCAACATATGTTTCAAAATCCGCCATTTCGTACATGCTGTCTTATTCAGTTGTGTTCGAAACAAACCTGTCAACATGTTTGGCAAAGCAAACTTGATTGACTACCCTTTAAAACATCGATAGTTGGTTGGCTAGCCTTTGAATCATCGATAGTTGGTTGGCTAGCCTTTGAACCATCGATAGTTTATTTGTTGTTATTCTTTGCCATGACATTGCAATGCTTTCAAGACTAACAAATCAATACACATCTTTATATGCTTTTTCTATTAAAAATGTTACAAATTGAGACGTCGCTTCTTTCACACCCTAAAATGAAAGAAAAGTTAGACCCCAATAAAGGGATTGCCCTCTACAGAGTAAGCTTTAGCGTATTCATGCCCAAATTTCCAAAATTTCCGATTCAAAGAGTCATTGTCAGGAGAACAAATTAACTTTGAAACCTATCTTTCTAGAATTGAAAATAATGCGCGTGCATGATAAATCTAGTTTTCAAATAATATGAATCTTATAAAACTCTACATAAACGGAACCTTTGCTCTTTTCTAAAAATTTTTAAATTTTTTTAGATATCTGAGAGATATTCTAAACAATGATTGATATGGCAGTACATCTGAGTATAGGGGGCGGGAGGGGCGGGAGGGGGAATGGCATCTTTGTTTATGCTAAGCAATATGGCTTTTCTGCAAGATATTTGTTAGTTAATTGCTGTCTTTAATTTTCCTTAAGCCTCATTTTTTACCAAATTTTATCGAAGCCCCTGATGGAAGGGTGGACGCCCTCATAAGTCTCTTTTTAAGCTGGTACTACACCCTTGTGGATTGAAATAAACCCTTGTTAAACAACGCAATTTCTAATACCATCATCAAAATTCGTAAGCTGGCAGCTGTCAGGGGAAAGACAGACCGCTTATTCACGTTGGTCATTCATATACATTGCATAAAGAAAGTGTAAAAGATCAGCTGCTCTACCTTGACAAAATAAGAGGATATCCGTTCAGAAACACACAAACATAACGTTCAAAAATCTTGTATGACTTTAGCCGAAATCTCATCTGTTGTGACACACAGCAGGGGTTATGATCTTACGCAGTGATTCCGATAAAGTCATAAACTAAACAATTTTTGTTTAGTAAACAACATTCTTAAAAGCTTTTCCCTGTAGTCGCCAATACTTCTCTCATTGCATTAATCGAGCACAGAATTTCAATAAGGAATTTATTGAACAAATTACAACAACCTCACTGTGTTAACTACAATCATAAATCAGCATAATTATCTTCATTATTATCAACATGATTATCATAATTATCATCACCATAATCATCCTCAATATGATCAGTATGTATTAAGTAAAAACAGGGTCTATGGAGTCATCGACATACAAGTGCAAATTACATATCAAGGTTCTTATTTGTGATGGTATGATAGCGGAAATAATTTGAAATTACCATTCATAGGCTTTCGCAATTTCTCGAAAATTTTACACCAGAATTTGTAAATTCTTGAAGTTTAAAAGGATATATGTGATATGTTTGTATCATATATTGGAGAAGGGAGAAGGGTAAATCTTCAGTCTATGCTGATTTTCAAGGGGCCATCGAAGTTGAACAACAGTATGCTTTGTCAGTTTTGAAAGCCATGTAATTTTATGTAGGCTTTGGCTTTCTTTTGGCTGAGTTTCATTTCTTTCAAAATAGAAACATGATCTTCCTGTATCTCAAAGTGTGAATATCTTACCATATTTCCGTTCTAGATGGGCAATTCTTGAGCGTTAATAGGCTCTCTCTAAGCTTAAAGAAAAGCGTAATACTAGATAAGAATTTATTACATGAGCATCTGGAGTAATTCTTCTGTCATTATGTATTTATGTATTTTTTATTTAGGTACCAGACACCTTCTCGGGAAAAGTTATTGGAAGCCTGTGTGCTATATGTGGGGTGTTAACAATCGCTTTACCAGTGCCTGTTATCGTCTCAAACTTTGATTACTTCTACCAACGCGAACGAGCAAGAAAGTTTAATCAGTTTGTTACACAAGATTTTGAAAGCGAAGAATCTAGCTCTAAAGATAATAATACTTCCATGCTGAACGGTGGGTCTGAATACAGACGGCAAGAGTTGATCGAGAGGCAGAAGAAGTTGAAACGGCTTCAAAACAACGGAGGATTAGTAAGTAAACGCATAAGAGAGTTGCTGAAAAAGGGGCATGGTGACAAGCGGACAAATAACAATGACTGGAATGAGGAAGATGCCAATCAAGTAGAGAGAGAATCAGTCGTGTGATCATATGCGATATCAAGCGATTAGTTGATGAAGGATTAAATCTAGTATTCATCGCATGTAGGAATAGTGAAAGAACAGGCGACGGAAGCAATATAGAACAAACACTCGCGGACGTTAGTTCGTGGCTGACGCAGTGACGACACTGATTGCAATCAACGGCCTTGAAGATTTGTTTGAGGAAAGGCGAATACATACGAATATGAACAATGGAACACATAAGAATATTTCTTGAATGTGTTCAATGTTGGCAGGGGCTAAACGGGCATTGCTCACTGCTAGTCAGATTCTAGGACTATTTGAGAATAGAACACGATGTGATGATGGTGGAAACAGAAAATATTTAGCCCGAAATGAAAAAAGACACTTTTTTATTCTGTATGTTTAGATATTCATCATCATGGCTCAGTGACATGTAAAACTACTGAATATCAAAAGTTTTAGTTAAAATGTCATGATAATCTCATGAAAATCTTTCTAGAATATCAAAGAACCTTGTATCAGATTCAAGCTTCAATTGTAAATATTTTCTTGAACGAAGATTCAAATGCGCATTATGACTAAAGTTTACTGTATTATATATTACGTAGTTACCAGCGGTTCTTAAAACCAACAGTTTACTTGTGCATGAGGCATTGATAAAGTTCCCAGATCTTCTTGTTTGCACGTTGTTTGTGGCCCCTATGATAAACCCCTTTATCTTTAAAAATGGCAGAATTGATGCCCATTTGCTTACAAAGAACAATTTTTGCTGGCCTGTTGTTTTTTGCTACTACATGTGAAAGTTACATAACGAAAACATTTTCTATCAGTCAAATAAGAGAAAGTTCTTATTTCAGGTTTTTCTATGCTTTTTGCAAAAGTATTGTTTCGTGAGCCAGATTTTCAACTATTAGGTTAACTGGGTTTCCGCATGGCTAACATTTTTTGCAAGAACATTTTCTATTTGCGCATTAAATGATCGATTTTTAAAATTAGACCAATCATTCCTCCTTTTTTTTACTGAAAACATTGAAAAAATAGCAAAAACTCCGATATGACTTCTTTAATAGCAAATGTTTCAGGATGTCCATGTTATTTAGATTTGTTCACGATTCCTTTTATAATCTTTCCCCTGGGTATATTTCGCAATTAATCTCGATTCGCGCCGTGGGAAGTTTTCGCCAAGAGGAAATCCGGCTTCAATCCGAAATCCAATTCATAGGCTAAACAGACTGAAACGTGAAGAGCTGGGTGATATTTATTTGATATCTATCATGTTGATATCGTTATATTGTCGTGTTACTAAAATCAGGAGACCTTGAAAAGGTATTCAAGGTTAGAATATTTCAATTAAAGTCTAATGGTGGTATTATTGTAAAAACAATTTTTCATGTAGTAGAGCAAGTACTCTAAAACTAGCCTTTTATAATGTTTGGTGTGTACCTAAGCATGCAACTTTCTGTATGTTGATATATTTTGCTTTCTTATGTAGAGTAACAATTGATAATTTCCTGAACGAAATCATGATCAACAGGTTCGTATTCACTTGAAATCTGCCTTCCTGCAAAGTGCCAGTGCCTTTAATCTTTGGAAACGCATTTCATTTCATTTTCATTTTCTCTTTAGGATGGGGGAGGGGGTGGCCCTTCAGCGGAGAAGCTAATTTTCAAGGGGCCCTCCATCTACATTACATACTCAATAACAAAGGCTTTCTCATCTATAATGAAAATAGTATTTATAATAAAACCTAGAATAAAGTAGGATAATAAGCTTGATATTACAAAATAAAACAAAAACAAAAAAGTAAAATTCCTTAAAAAAGAATTTTAAAGATCCTTAGGGAGGTTGCTTGTTTGTAGTCAGCTGAAAGGCTGTTCCAAATTTGCACCCCTCCGAAAGAAAAACACTTCTGACCCGTTGAGGTGCTTTTCTTCGGCAACCCAAGGTCAGTTAAAGTATTACACAAATTATATGTAGCATTTTGTGAGCTTTTCGTGAAAAATTGCGTATGTATTGAGGAGCGAGTTTGTTTAAGCTCTTAAAGACCATTGTTTTGGACTCAGTTTCGAACAGTTTATAGTCTTCCATCCAAATTTTTCAAAAAATGGTTGGCTGGGTGTGTCGAGACTGCTGTTTGTAACAAGCCTAGCAGCCCTGTTTTGTAGCTTTTGCAAACGACTTATCTCAGTTGTACCAGCAAAGCTCTGCACAGGGCAGCAGTATCGGAAGTGGGGCTCTACAATGTTAGTATAGAAGCTTTTTAGGGTGGTGACGGGTAAACAACTCTTAGCGTGTTTTAAGAGACCAATTCCCTAGAAACTTTAGAAGAGTAGCCCTAACGTGATCCTTCCAGTCAAGGTTGCGGTCTATTTGAACCCCAAGGCATTTGGTTTTTGTTTACAACCTCAAGCTCCGTATCCCGAATTTTTACTTGCAGGCTATGATTCCACCTCTTGAGAATTTTATCCTTTGCTTTGGTACAGACCAGCATTAAATGTGTTTTTGTCACATTCAAGTATAACTTATAACCTAGAATCAAGATCTTTGTTTATAGCCTCATTTAACCGAGGTAGATCCTTTGATTTAAAGGACAGACTCGTATCATCAGCATACATGGAAGTGGTGGAATTATGCACTGCTTTAGAAAGATCATTAATATAAACAAGAAGAGTAAAGGATCCTTGAGGCACTCCAACTTCAATGTTTTCCATTTTTGAGTCGACACCATTTACCCTATAGTATTGCATTCTATTTGATAGGTAGGATACAAACCAAGCCAGGTCCCTTTCTTGAACGCCATAGTTTTTCAGTCTCTTGCATAGTATTTGATGGTCGACTGTATCAAATGCCTTTTTTAGATCTATAAAGACCATACCCACCATTTTCTCCTATCAAACCCATTATACCAATCATCTGTGTTCTTTAGTAGACATGTTGCTGTAGAGTGAAGCTTCTTAAAGCCAGAACAGAACAGAGGCAGCAGAGGTACCGGTACAACTGGTTGAACACAAGTTTTTTCGAAGAGCCTGGAGACGACAGGTAGTACTTAGACTGGCCTGTAATTCGACTTATGCTTGCGAAACTCTCTTCAACAGATCGCCTCAGGGAGGGGAAATTAAGGGCAAAATATGCAATTGAAATACTTGGCTTTCTTTCTTATTTAATAGACAACTCTTTGTGGGACCACATTAGGGCTTTTAAAAACACAGTCAATCAGGCCCCAAGCTTGCTCCTTGTCAAAAACTGTAACATACTTGTTATCAAGTAGATAAGGCAGGTAATAGTGAAACGGCATCGTTTAGCAAAATATTTTTGAATTATTTCAAACAGTAAAGTAACAACAGAGGAAAACCCCAAGCATGCAAGCCTGGAGTTTTTTTCATGAAGTTTTCAGGTGTCGGAGTATGACCTTGAAAAAGATTCCACAGCAGGTGTTTGGAAGACTTTACTTCAGTGGTCTGAACAAACTTGAACAAACATGGGTCGTTCAGAACATATAAAAATGCTTTGAATTTGCTTAAGTGCTTAAGAGTTCAGACCAGTATCAGTTCTGAACCATCTCCTTCTGGCGTAAAAATCTCTTTTGAAGTTATAACGAGAAAGAAGAATCGGTTAACTGTTTCTTGCAGTGCCTCCACGTCAGGAACAAGTTGCGTGACAAACCATTTGGGTTAATTATATCGTAGCTGTAATTTGAGACAATCAGTTTAGCTATTTAATTGATTCTGGCAGTCCAAATTTTACTGAAGTAGTATAAGAATTTAAAATACTTAAATGCTCTCGAGAAGCTTCGAGTTCACAACAAGTGTTTTCAAATGTAGTTTCAGTGTTTGTATGTCTAGTATAGGACAAGTAGATTGTGCATTGCTCATATTAGAAACTTGAGATGAATTCTTTACGGAATCTTAGAATATTAATTTAAATTTCAAAGCTGCATTTAAATCGATAAAGTACCTTTAACCTCAAGTCTATTATATGAAAAAGTGACATAGCATATAAACATATCCCATTTGATAAGCATGCAAGTTTTTATTTCTAAAAATAAGAAAACATTTCTCTGAAGGAATGCTGCAACCGCTCTTTGGTGCAGCTGCATGAAATAACTGCATCAAGGACGGTATCAACGAGCGGTACCAAAGAACTACACCAAAGAACGGCACCAAAAAACTGTACCAAAGAACTGTACCAAAGAACTGCACCAAAGAACTGTACCAAAGAAGTAAGTTAAGGAACTGCACCAAAGAACTGCACCAAAAAACTTTATTAAGGAATTGCCCCAAAAAACTACATTAAGGAACTGCACCAAAGAACTGTACCAAAGAACTGCACCAAAGGACTGTGCCAAAGAACTAAGTTAATGAACTGCACCAAAGAACTGCACCAAAAAACTACATTAAGGAACTGCACTAAAAAGCTACATTAAGGAACTGCACCAATGAACTAGATTGAGGAACTGCACCAAAAAACTGCACCAAAGAACTGTACCAAAAAACTACATCAAGGAACTGCACCAAAGAACTGTACCAAAGAACTAAGTTAAAGAACTGCACCAAAGAGCTGCGCCAAAAAACTACATTAAGAAACTGAACCAAAGAGCTACATTAAGGAACTTCACCAAAGAACTGTACCAAAGAACTGCACCAAAGGACTGTAACAAAGAACTAAGTTAAGGAACTGCACCAAAGAACTGCACCAAAAAACTACATTAAGGAACTGCACCAAAGAGCCACATTAAGGAACTGCACAAAAGAACTGTACCAAAGAGCTGCACCAAAGAGCTGTACTAAAGAACTGCACCAAAGGATCACGTTAAAGAACTTTACCAAAGAACTGCACTGTTTTAAAGTATAGGCCGATGCACAGAGAAAATCCAACTTGTGAGATTATATTTTATAATTCATGTAAGTTAATTTTCGTATGCAACCACACCAATAAGCAACTCCTGTAAGCAACTAATTAACCCGAGGTCACTTGCCGAAGTGTTTTATCAAATGGCCTATCAACGCATTTTCGAAGACTGGGCACCGCTCTATTTCTAGGACTCCATCGCTTCAACATGCACCAAAGAACTGCCTTGATAGCTGTACCAAAGAACTGTACCAAAGAAGCGAAAGTACTAAAATTGGTCAATAATGTAATGAGACGATACTATATTCGTTTCTTACTTTGAAAATTCGAGTGGTCAAAAGGGTATAGAAGTAGAAAGATGCAAAAGAGTGGCCTTATAATATAATGTGGCATGATCTCAATTCTTTTCCAGGCTCTACTTCTTTTATCTGACTGTACAGCAGCTGATGTTGCCATTGGCCTAAGTTTAAAGACATCTTTTCAGGATTTTGCCAATCTCCGTCATCATATCTTTTATGACGTATCGTCGAAGAAACATCATAACCACTGCTGACAGAATATAAAACATGACTGAAATAAGCTCAAATCTTGTGGTTATCACGTTTGATACTATGGCTAGCATCATCAAGATTCTTGGCACAGCGTTCTGATGTAAGCGCGATCTTAGCAATTTTATTTTTATCAAGAGTGAATTTTTCTATGACCTGACAAAAGAAGAAAAGCACATTCAGGAATAATGCATGAAGTGTGCGTTATCAGAAGAGACGAAGATGGTTTTGCAGCTGTCTTTCAGCCTAATCCTTTCACTTATCATGCTTTGGAGAACGCTTGTTGCAGTTTTCGTCCACAAATTACATTGCGTAACTTACCGTATTCGCAATAAGTCAAGTATAATAATTAACAATGCAGTTGTTAGGCACGTGATATGTCCAAGCATAAGTCCAAGCAATTACTCATGACAACAGCAATACGTATCCAGCATGTCATTCAAAATAGTAATATTCTTATATGGGGGCTTTGGAAAGCGGGAAAAGTCGGCCATATACTTCCATTACTATTTACACTCAAATAAGCCCCCCCCCCCCACCTAGGGTTTATCAATTTGAAACGTTTTCCGAAGAGGGCTAATTCGAAGGAAGCTTAAATGGGGGTGGAGGCTTGTAAAAATAACCTAACAGTCAGCATTCAAATAGCCCCTTGTTGAAGCATATTCAAGTTTTTCAAAGTCACTTTGAGAGACGAAATATTTTGCAAGCCAGTTTGCGAGGGAACTTTGCCAAAGTTTCCCTCGAGAGCAATGCCAAATTTTCAAAACTGTATTCAAACAAATGCAAAAATAATCTTGCCCTCGACGTTTTTCATGCCTAGTCCCCCAAAACTCCTACCAAATTCTGTAATATGATCCGTTGTCCCTGGATCACAATAAGCGTGAAATTTTGAGTTTGAAATTAGTATCGTCTTCTTCTAGACACCAAAGTGTTTACTGTTGTTACACATATTATATAAATTCTATATTTATATACCATATTTACTAAGGAATAGGCACAGATAAATATTTAGAGCTTTACAGTTGAATTTGGCTATATCAAATCCTAGAAGGCAAACCTTACATGAACTATATTTTAAATGCTTTACTTTGTTTATAACATTGAATCAATTAGTAAACTGATTCAGACTAAGTAAGGAATACCTCGGAAAAATTGAAGAAAACTCTTGCTAGCATCAATTCTTAAGAACGGAATAGAAAACACTCAGACATGTGGAGCAGACTGATCATAAGTTGGTGCACTTGTCAGTCTTATATTAAAAATCAGCGTCTATATTTTGCTATAAGTTTAACACGACTTTCAAGAATCTTACCAAAGGGTATAGATTTAGTGAACTTTTAGCTCATTAAGCAACTCTCTGCTCTTCTATTCATCTTTAGTTGTTTGACCCATGTAGATGTTAAGAGTTCAAACCCTAATTTTCATCAAGTATGATCAAGTTCACGTTTTTAAAAAATTTTGCATTTGCGATGTTCTTCAACCTCTTGTGCTTGTTGAAAATTGATTAAAAGGGAAGCCAATTTTAAAATTATTCAGGTGGCAGTTGCCATCGATTTCCATTTTGGATAATTGTTAGCATAGAACGCTGGTGTGAAAGATAAACGGACAATTTGTCAGCGCAGAATCTGTGAGAATCCTCGAACGTGAAACAGCTGCCCCTTCCCACAAAATTGAGCAGTATGATTTAACTCCTAATTATTGTAGCGATTGCTATGTTGTTTTTCACTCGGCCTTCACTGTGTTCAGGTTTCCGCGAACAGCAAAAGGAGCTACGGTAAGCCAGGTAACCAAATCACTCTTAAATGCTAATGACTTTTAGTCCTGTAGACAAATGCGGTGGTGTCGCCAAGGAATGTGAAGGGCCAGATGGCAATAACCTCCAAATATTTACCCAGGATCTTCCATATAGCTGTTTTTGATAAGACAAGATCCTAACTGGAGAAGGAAAGGACTAGATAGGCCCCCTCTCGTTGCAACACTATCTCTGTATTTATTTGAGAAACCTGGCTCTCAAAAATGTTCTTTTTTCATTAACAGGTAAAACTGGTCTATATCAATGCATTTCTCATGAACAAATGCTATATTCCTTTTATCAATCCATCTTCAATTAAACTTTTGAAGTTTTCTTTTATGCAAGATATGGCGAAAAAACGAGGGTTTGTGTTTGACAAAAGGCATGCAATGGAAAACTGTCAACCCATCTTTAACACGAAACTTATCTTATATAAAGTTAAAACAATACCGCAGAAATTAGAGAGAAGTTTTAATAGTTAAAAATAGAGTGTCTTTTTTGAGTAGGAGTTTACAAGGATTCAAGGTTATTTCTGACCGAATAATGAGTGACCTGGCTAACATGAGTGTAGCGGGGGGTAAACGATTAGGGCGCTTGGTATGGGTCTTGTTTGAATAACGTTGCTTCATTGAGTTCAATTTTGATAAATTCAATAAGCTTTACCTGACTAGATAGGGGTGGGAGCTGCAGCCCCCAAGCCCCTATGTTTCTTTCGCCTGCTAACCCAAAAAATCACTCGTTTACTTCAGCCTCATTAGGGATCTGGTAACCAGTTATATTTCGTTAGCATAGCAACTGTATGTAATGGCGGCTTGTTGATGTTGAGAAGACACAACCATTTGCGCGTTTAAGAAAATGTCTGAATCCGGAAGCCAGGAAGAAAAAAGATATACCCCATCTATTTACGTTGAACAGACGTTGGCAATCATAAAGCCGGATGCCATTGATAAGGCGGATGAGATCGAAGAAATAATATTGAAGCATGGATTTTCTATTTTGCGGGTAAAAATTATTCATCATCGTTTATTTTTGTTTTTATAGTGAGTCTTGTTTTAAAGTATTCAATGAATTGACAAAGAATACTTATCCTTTATGTTACGAGATTTTAAGCTTTGAAAAAAGTTCAGGAACATCCTTAACCTTATACTGTTTTTATGAAATGAATTCCTTTTAAATTAAAGCATATTCTTTACCATTAGAAAAGGAGAATGCATTTGACACCGGAGCAGACAAGTGAATTTTATGCTGAGCATTATGGGAAGATGTTTTTTCCAAGCTTAATTGCTTTTATGAGCAGGTAAGACATATGTTAATCCTTAAAAATGGTTACTTTCAGGCTGTTATTTTTCTGAGTTATTTTTTTGTCTTAAATGTAGCATCACGACCTTGACTGTTCAAATTCATATGACTGTTGAGATTAAAATGTTTAAATATTTAACAGGTTGATGGAATTTTGTCTTCATTTGCCTTTTATCCATTTAGATGCTTTAGATAATGAATTTTGTATAAATGAATTTTAGATGCTTTAGATAATGAATTTTGTATAAATGAATTTTAGATGCTTTAGACAATGAATTTTTACAAGTCAATAAAATGAAAGGTACACATCTTCTGTTAGATTGTAAAAGGTTTCTCAATAAAAAGTTAATTTAAAGTGGAGTGACGTAACAGATTATGGTTTAGACTCGCATATGGTGTTGACCCTAAGATGCAAAACTTTTTGGGAAGCCCTGTTTACAGACAAACTCTGCTTTCTTTCACTTCCTTCTGAGCAACGTTTTCCAGACTTTAAGAAGAGTGTACCATAATGGTCTCTAGTTGTCGCTTAATATATGGAAAAAAGAGGGTTGTTTCTATCTTGTGTTATTTGTATATGGGAAAACTCGCTTATACTAATTCATAATTATTTTTTAAAGCGGTCCAATTTTGGCAATGATCCTTGCTAGAGACAATGCTGTGACTTACTGGAGACAAATAATTGGCCCAACGCAAACATCAAGAGCTAGAGACGAAGCTCCAGACAGGTTAGCACAGTTTTTGAAAGATGGATTCTTGAAATTGATGTATATTTTGGATATTATGTATGAGATTTATCATTTGATAAATTTATAAAGGTGAGTAGCAACTATAAGCTGGCACTGACAGCCAACAGCCAGCAGAGGACTGGCTAATGACAAAAAAAGTAGATATTAAGTGAGACATATTATAGGGGTTCCAAAATCCATGAAAGCATGCAAAACCAGCCAAAACCAGCCAAAACCAGCCAAAACCAGCCAAAACCAGCCACAACCAGCCAAAACCAGCCAAAACCAGCCAAAACCAGCCAAAACCAGCCAAAACCAGCAATGAAATAAAGCACAAAGATGGGACTGTGATGGCGAAGTGCACCATCACACAAAAAACATTACAAAATTTGTAGGTTGCACACAGAAATAGTGTCAGGGCTGTGAAGCTGCAAGCTATAATAGACACCCATTAAGCCATTGAGCAGTGGTGAAAGTGTTTTGACTTTCTGGAGTTTAATGTTTTTTCTTTTTTCTCATGGTACCTTATCAAATTTTCAAGAGTTTTGTAAGTTTGACAAGAGTTGTGAAAGGTTAAGTTTTTGAAGAATCTTAAATAAGGCAAGGAGCTACCCTGAACTCCACATAATCTTTGCCCCTGGTTTGTTGTGAATAGGGTATCTTCCTGAACTTTCAACAAATCATATTTTTACAATGTAATGTCTGCTAGGGTTTTTTTGTTCTCAATTATTTTTCTGTTCTGTTCTGTTAAATTTATTAGCAAGAAAAGAATGACATGTTTGTTTATATTGCCTAAGGATTTTCAAAGGTATTGTACATGGCTTCACCTTCAGTTATCGATCACATTGATATAGCTGCCATGACCTCCCCCCTCCCTAACAAATACCAAGCTGTCAAAACGTTGCACTGCAAAATTTCTCACTCCCTCTTTTCTGCACTGAAGGTTTATTTCTAAATTTGATGCCTAGTCATACCATGCTTTTATGGTACATTGGATGAGCCCATTAATGTGAAATTTGCTGCAAAATAAACTACTGCTTCCAGATTTCAGTTACCCTAAACAAGGGAACCTTGCATTTCAAGGTATTTTTTCCAGAGTTCTTATTTAAAAGTTATGAATTTCCTGCTTTCCGAAATGAAAATGTGTCTAATACTACTGCCCGATATGGCTATCAAGGAGGTATGTGAAGTGTTTCTGTCCCTTGGTAAAAATTTAGATAAAGCAAAAATGTTTAAAGTTTTAAATTATTCATCTTATAATGCCAACCATAGCAGAAATAAAAGAGATCAGAAAATTGAGCCATGCTTTGGTTGGATCCCCCATTTCCGAACCACCATATATATCCTTTGGGTAATCACTTTCAACTTTGTTTCAATTATTAAATATTCATTTTGTTGTTGTTTTTCTGAAAATTTTGCCATTATTCTATCAATTATTAACTATTCATTTTTTTTGTAACAAAGACATGTCAGAATTCTTTTATACTGCTTCTGCCTATCAAAGATCATATGAATAATTTATTCAGCAACTTTTGACCTCAGATTGAATAATGATAATATAGTGTTGCCAGTGAATTTTAAAAGGGCTGAAGCTTTGCAGAATGACTACATAGGAAGTCCATGGTTGTTTGAGTAATAACTTCATCTGTTAGTGAATAAGTGATGACCTAGAGACTGCCTAATCATTTAGTATCATTGTCAAAAGATAAAAATCTATTTTCATATTATGAACCTTTTCATTATTCGTTATTTCAACATAATAGCCACGTCATTCAAGATAACTTCTTTACAAAGGGTGGCATCAAACTCTGCAATTTTACAAACATTATCCTTCAGCATTCAATAATAACATCATAAGGAAAATTGTTAAAATTTTTTGGGGAAGATGAGTCTCAATGAGACAAAATTCATTTCACTCTATAATAAAAAAAGTTGTAATGACGTTGTTTACAAACACACATAAAACATCACTTTTTGGGAGTTCCTGACTATCTTGAAAGAGAACAATAATTCTAAAGAAGATTTTCAAGAGCATCAAATAGCAAGTGAGAGATCTGGCAAAAATTATTTCTGAAAATATTCATGTAGCTGTTTTAAGGTCCTTATGAATGTTTGTCAGATAGCCAAATAAAATATGAAAAAGCCAAGTCTTAAATGTAGGTTGGCTTCATATTTTGTTTCTTTTTAAAGTGCTAGTTACAGTTTTGAAATGGAAACACAAAATCTGGAATTCCAAAACGGTCTAGTGTGGCTAAGACTACAATAATTTCTTCACAGCATTCAAAGGCTATTTCTCCAAATCTTTATACAGCATGAAGATGTTGCTTGCTGTTCACTGCCAGTTTTGCTCAAAATAGCAAAGGCAGTGTTGTTGTATTGACATAATCATACCAATCCATCCCTTATGCCTAACTTTGCTAAAAAAAGTTCGAAAAACAGCAGAGTTAAAAGCTGTGATAATTAATTTTGCTGAAAGCTCTTTCAGTTTTTATCAAAAAGGAAATGTCAGACATTACTGTATTTTTTGGTTATGTCTACACAATTCATCTGTAATATTAGTTTCTTTCACTCTCCACAGCATAAGAGCTTTGTTTGGAACTGACAATCAGAAAAATGCTGTGCATGGAAGTGATAGTAATACAAGTGCTGCCAGAGAAATCCACTTCTTTTTTCCAGATGGTGGGTTAGCTTAATTCTCTTGCTTCATGATCAACAATGTTTTAATGAATCGATTAACAATTATTATCAATATTCTCTCCCATTTCAACGTTCGTCTTTTATAATGTTCCATTTAAATTGTATTTTCACCTTGCCTCTTACTTTTTGTTTTTTATTTATTGTGATTCTATCAATTGAAGCAACTGTTTCCCAGAAGGGAAGAGTTATCTTCAAATTATGTATTTACCTGCAACCATGTGTGTTAGACATAATGATTTAAAAACCAATATTTTTCAATTTATAATGACTGACATGACAATCCAAGAAGTCAAGCGTAAGAAGGTTGTCTAAGATTACCTATCTTACGTATAAACATGTTTTTCCTATATTCATGAGAAGCTGGCTTATAACGAAACGAAACGAAACGAGTCGAAGGAAAGTCAGTTGCTCCAAGTCAAACCTTGAAAATTGTAGACTTTGACAGGGGCGCAGTGGGAGTTAACTTTTGGGGGGGGGCAAAGCTGAAAATTTTCCGATAAAACTATGATTTTTCCGACAAATTTTTTCTCAATACATCCCTTGAAGATTACCCTTGCTGCATATACTACAACACTTGATACTACAATATCACGAATGGATCTGGAAATCGTTAACGAATGAATCGTTCGTTATACACCTTCAAGTTCAACAATAGCCTTTATTCTAACAAAACTTACCAAATATAAATCGCTATGAACAAAACTGCAACTATTTATAAATTTACACCCTACAAGTCTTCTCGCTATACTAGACAATAAACTGCCAAGTTAGTGTTTATAGATGTTTATAGCAAAAAGTTTTTGGCAAGTTTTAAGTCGCATCATAATTACTTTGCATTTATTTATGCTAAACCTTAAATAGATATAACGCGTCCAAAAGAATAGTTTTCTTTTAACTGAATTTATATAAACTGTTACTCAAGCAGCATCTTTCTCAAAAGAGGTGTGGCAGCATACAAATCGATGATGTCACCATAGTCTATCGACTGTAACATATCACTTTCGACGTTGATTGTTATCAGAGAGGAAAGGCGGTCTTGTCCCATCGTTGACCGTAGCCAATTTTTTTACAATCCTCAGCTTTGAAAAAGCTCTTTCATAGTTTGTTGAACCTATTGGCAAAGTGACGAGAACCTTGTAAAGAAGGACCAGCTGTGGAAAGGCACTTTGCAGGTAATACTTATCATCAACTGAAGAACTGAATGGAACTGAAAAGTTTTCTCTTTCTCTTGCAGCCGGGAGAGGGTTGCTCTTTTCTCTAACTTTCCAAAATTTACGGTAATCATTGGCGAAAGAGCTGTACTCATCTCTTAATTTTTCGTCATCCAGGCTGTAATTCTTCGCAACCTTTTTGAATTACACTGCACAGAACTGCCTTTCAATTGTTTTTTGAAAACATTCAGGGTTGAGCAAGGCAAAATCTGTCAAAATTGCCTTATGAGACGTGAATCTTGTATTCATTGAGCTGATAGCTGTATCTACTATCAAGATGATATACGGATTCCCTATTTCCTTCTAATTCATTATGCAATTTTCCCCTGGCATCTTTTTCTTTCTGCGTATTCGTCGCTCGACAAAATTTTCCTCTTCTAAGTCATGGCGTTGATCATGCACTATTTTACGACAGGTTTAAAAAATATGCGACCTTTTAGACAAGATCGATGAAAACCTTACATTTTGTCTAATATTTCAAATTTTCCGACAAACGCTGGATTTTCCGACAATCCGACAAATGTTTTGCCAGGGGGGGCGGCTGCCCCCCAGCCACTGCGCCCCTGGACTTTGATCAAAATGGGTGGAAAAAGTTAAAAACTAAACGCAGAAATAAAATATATCCATAACGTTCCAGCCAAGGCTTTAATTTTCGCTTGTCTGAAGGTCTTTCATTAAAAACACTTGCCTCTCTGCAGTGATGTTTTAACAATTTTGAAAATGTGATTTTTTAACGAAATAAACGAAATGGAGTAAATACCTAAAATCTAGTTACAGGATTGAAATAAAGTCATAAAAATATCAAGGGGCTTAGATTCTCATTTTTTTATTAATGCCAACGATATAAATTCTGAGTTTCAAACTGAACGAGGCTTTAATGCAATTTAATGCAAACTGTAGAAATTGGTTTATGTAATTGCTCTCTGCCATTGTCCCCTTCATATAGGATTCGTAGACAAAGACATTTGAAGGTATACCGTAGCTCCTAAAATCAAAATTATGATTTCCTCTTTTTATCCGACATGGCCTATGGATCCATCTTAAGTTTAACCCTTTATCAACAAAGCGATAGTTTAGAACCTCCCTAACAGGTTTTCCTAGCCACAGCCCTGATAGTTTTGTTGACTTTGCAACTAGAATTTCGAAGATCTTTACAGATTGTTAAATTCTGAGATTTTTTTCTTTTCTGTTCAACAAGCATTTTATTCGGCTAAGAAGCATTCAAACAAAACATGTTTAATATGCAGAAATTTCAGCAATATATCGCTTTAAGAAGGGTTAGCCGCTGTAGATAACGCAAGCTTTCGGGTGATTAGTCAATAGCTCTAGGCGCGTTTGTTCTCGGGCTCATGTTGGTTTTCACGTTCTTGCGGTAGAGTTTTCTCACAGCTCACTCAATTTGAAGCATTTGCTTATTTTCTGTTTTTTGCACAACGCCTAAAGTCATAGAATTGGTCTTATCGTTATAAACGTGCAGTCGAATTCAAACGGTCTAAACGTTCTAATCGAACAACTGCTTCTCCCTAAAACCTCTCTCCAGCATTTTGAAGAAACTAGACTTTATACACAAATACGTCATTACTGCCAGAAGCTGTTATTATAGCTTCGTTCGAGATTCTTCCCACAGTCACCATTGACATGAAAATTTCCTTTCTTAGTTTTTTGTGTAAAAATTATCAAGTCCTTTTCATCTCTTCACCGCTTCATGAGAAAACTGTGAATAGTTTTTCCTAGTGTAAGCGCATTTCTTTTTGCAAAGTCTTATCCTTGCTGAATAACATTCACGTCGCAAGATTCAAAGTAAAACCAAAGCTTGTTTTTCAAGAAAATGGCTTTTTTAGTGACACTTGGCAGTGCGATATTTTTACTTGGAATATTTTTGTCATTGCTTGCAAAATTACTGTGTATTTTTCTTAGTCAACGTTTGTAGAGTAACTCGAATTTATTTTATTGACGCCATCAGAGTCAAGAAAAGTGTTCTTTCCCTAGCCAATGGGCCAAGCTTTCAGAAACATTCTCTAAAGACAATTGGAATTAGGCATGACTTGTTTTCGACGACTTTCTTTACGACTATCACCTGTGTGGCCTGTTTTTTTTCCCGGACCCTGGTTTTGCTTTCATTAAAGAGCTTTCAAATCTCCGTTTTTTGCTGCCATAAGTTTCGTTCAGCTTATTGATAAAAACAAACATTTCTTGTCATGCTAACAAAATTCTCTATTGCAGCCGTAATAGAGCCGTTACCTACAGGCCAGGAAGCACGGGATTACCTGGCAAGAGCAGTCAACCCAACATTGCAAAAAGGCCTTGCGGAGCTTTGCAAACAAAAGCCTGATCAGCCGATTGTGAGTAACAATAAAACAGAATACTGTGTTTATTATTTGCAACACGCGAATAGAAGAAAAATTTACGTAGAAATATTCATAATTTTTCTTTCAAAATTGCACCGGCTCCAACCTTACCAGTGTAATATAATCTAAGATACCTTAAATATATCTTTCAATATATTCAATCATATCTTAGTCCAATCAAAAAATTCATTTTGCCCAGTAAGATATGCTCATTTGTGCTTTCGTCGGTCCAAGCTCGAAAACAGATTTTTATGACGTCATCATTCAACTATTTCATTCTTTTTGAAGAAAAGAGACAACGTGTTCTGTGCAGAAAGAGTCACCGTGGCATTTATCTCATAGGAGAATCACACGCTTTGCTATTACCCATAAAGACGTGCCTGTTATAGTTGCTGATCAGCTAAAAATTGTTTTGGACGAGTAAAAAGATTTGCTATAAGGCTATTTACATTTTATTTATAGTTTTTATTTTATTATATCTACAATTTTTATTCATGTCCCTTCAAGTTATAATGCAAGAGAATAAGAGAATACAAATAAAGGAGATACGTCTTATTTCTAGAACAAGCCACAATAGAAGTTGTGTACATTGATAAGCTAGGCCATAAAGCAGGCATCGAAAATAATATGAAGCGTTGATAGCAAAGTATGCCAAGTGACAAATTGAACTACATTACAGGGAAAAAATTTATTCTCATTGTCCAAAAATGTCGTGTGGATACCAATAAAATTTAGAGTTTGACGTAAAAAATGTATTTTTAGAATTTTTAAAATTTTATCACATACCTGAAACTGCCTAATGAATTCTTCTAAATGTGCAAACCAGTTAAACATGTTCAAATTTGAAGGAGGTATACCCAATGGATGATTTATAGTTCTCTACCGGTTCTCCTGTGTGTTTTTGGTTTCTTTTGTCAAAAAAGAATGCCTAGTACAACACTTGAAGAATGTGTCACACTATATTAACTCAAGCTTTTCTCCAGCGCGCTGTGCATTTCCCTAATGTAGTTGGCTCCTTGCTGGATTTGCAGAGAGCTGGCGACTGCTCTCACTCTGAGTAAAACTTTAGCTAAAACCAAGACGTGAACCACTCTTTGATTATTGAGTCATCCTCACATCTCTCAAAGAACCCAGAGTGTACCAAAACGAATAGTGAGGACATTTATAAAAAATGGGCAAGTAAGGTAATGTTTTGATTAAGTTTTTCTGGAATGTTTCTAAATCAAAAAAGGATCCCAACTTGTATAGATTGGAAGGATTAACGGTCACCGATTGGTCAAGGAACCAATCAGATGCGCCTTTATTCCTTTCACGTTACTTACAACCCACACATGGATATAATTTTCTGCTGCTCACCTCAAGTCATTATTTGACGTTTGTATTCTGAGTATTGTAAAGCCAAAGTACTTAAGTATGTTTAAATTCCACTTTTCCGTGCTATGGTTTTACTTCAACATTTCAATTTTTCCACTAGTACTTTATGTTACCATTTTATCATGTTAAGACTAATTTGACGTAAGAAGTCCTTATCTTTAGTAGAAAGGATTCAAGCTCCGCTTCTGTTCACATGGCAACCCAAAAGTCGTGCCATGATGTTTACATTTATATCTTAGTAAAGCCAAGAGGCTGAGAAAAAAATCATCATTACATCAAAACATATCAAATAAGGTTCATTTAAGAAAATGCTGTTTGGTATGAAGTTTAATCAAAGATCCTCCTTACTTCTGTGGAAAGTTTCCTGAGAATCGTATATATGAGAGGTATATAAGTAGGACGTACCATAAATGAGAGGAACCACAGTAGCCTTACGTAGTGGAATAGTAGACAGGGCCGTAAATCTGTCATGTGAATTGGGGGGGGGGGGGGGGGGTCAGCAGAGCGAATTAATATAAAGTATGCAGTGGGTCATGGCACCACAGGGGTATGTGTTATGTTTTATGGAAACAGTTAAGGGGCAAATTACTTTAAAAACAAAAGTCAATATTTTTGGATTTCTCAAGACTTTCTGCTCTATAGAAGGTATTTACAGATATTCCTTAGTACATTGACTTGTGTTGATAATTGGATTGGTAACATTTTTCAGAGATGGCCCCAAGAAATTGAACCTTGGGAGCTAAGAATAAAGTTAACTGTCGTAGGTGGACCCACCATGGTTGGGTCCGACGCGGAAGAAAATTTTTGAAATTTTATCTTCTAGAAAGGCATCCCCCAGACTAAATCTAATAAAAAACTAGAATCACTCAGGATAGAAAGTTCGGCGTTTTTCAGAAGAACGCAAATTATTGGTTATTGGGTGAAATTTTGGAGGGGAAGAATCATGCTTAAACCTTAGTGACAGACTTTGGGGAAATATGGAACGCTGTTGTATTGATTGGTAGAAATTTACTTTCTGAACAGAAATGTGCGTCTTCCTTATTTTGAGTGCTTTTAGTAGACCATGTTTACACATCAAAAATGAATACATTTTAATGATACAAAAAGTGATTTAATGAATAAAAGCTAATAATAGACAAATAATAGAAATATACGTAAATAAGTTAGTAAATAGGTCAAATAAAATGACAGATTGCTCTCTTTTTATTTTGTACTTTGTTTTCAAAAATAAAACGGTAAAAAATGGTAGAAAACGGTAAGTTTTTATCTTGTAAAAATTATAAAAACCACTCTGCTTACAAAAATAACCTTATTGGCTGAGGTTTGTTGCAATAACACAAAAAAACGTAGTTTGGTTGTAGCCCGGCTACCAGGGATTTCTTTCTTTCAAGGAAAATGATGGTAATTTCTCCAAAAAATCGTTTTGCTCCAGATTTTTGGGGGGGTCCAGTCCCCCCCGTCCCCCCCGGGATTTACGGCCCTGATAGTAGAGAACCGTCTGTTCAAATAAATCATGGTATAAACTATGAATCTGGCATTGTGTTAACAGGGACAGATTTACGAGTTTTGCAGAAAATGAAGAAAAACTCAATGCCCAGAATTATTGAGCACACTGGTAAATTCCTCTCTGTTTGTACATATGTTTGTCAAGTTATGCAATGGCCTTTTTCAAACCAACTACATTGTTGGAAAACCTTCCTCCGGCTCACCGCCTTGGATGTTTTCTGGACTCTGATGAACTTAAAGCATCTATTTTCTGTCTGAAGGTCTGACTCAAGACATCTTATTCTTTATCAAAACGCAAAGTAGGCGATTTTCGAATGACCCAGAAATATTTTGTTATTATTTAGTTACATTTTGCCTTTATCGGGGCTGCAAATTGTCTAGTGATCTTCACAGCTATTTGTAGCTTAATGCACAGTGACGGAAAAGAATAATTAGCAGCGAAGGGCTTTTTCCATGTCATGTTTCTAAGATGTTTCCTGTTTGTGAGCAGACAGTTCTATTAAAGCGCGTTATCTAGATTGAAAATGTCCGTTTTGTCTTGTAATAGGGTAAGCCACCACTGATCTATAAAAAAGACTTTTTTTAGATCAGTGTAAGCCACCCATTGCTGGTCACAGGCCTACTGAGACAATTGGAATAAAGAAACAGCTACATCGTAGCACATGGAAATTTTGAACCCACTTTAGATTTGAGCACTGAAAATGCTGTGAATATCGTCATGTTTGCGGAAGGAGAGACTCGCTTTTTTCAATTCCCTGTTCTTTCTCTCTACAGGTCTGACTGATCTTGATGTGAGTATTGTGTTGTAACTTTGATTTTATTTTTATAGATATGGTTGTCTGATTGGCTGTCAGAAAACAACCCAAACAAACCGAAAATTAATGGTTCAGGCCCTGTTATTGAAGAAGTGACCAACTGAAGCTACATTTTGTAAGTATTTGCCTTCACCTGCTTCTATTTTCATATCTTCACTCTAGATCGTAAACATTTAGGCTGGACTCAGGAGCTTAATCCTCTCTTCTCTATTGTCATCTTTGAATAATCCTGAAGTTTTTCAATTTTCTGCTACAAACGATTTCAGAAACAGACAAGACTTTCCCTTTTTTCCTAAATTCTTTTTTGTGTCTGTTAAAGTCGCCAGGCTAGTTGAATTGAAAATGAAAGTTTCCATTATTGTCATCGTTAGTATTTTTATTTTGCTTTCTTCTTCATTATCTTCTTCTTTTTCTGCGTATTTCTCTCATTTACGTTAGTTGCTTCTTTTTTCGTGTTCACCCTCTTCTTAGCCCTCTCTTCGAGTTTTGTTCTTCTGTTTGCTTCATTTTCCTTTCCTTCCACCTTTCTTTTTCTTTTGCCCGTCTTGTTATTATTCCTTCTTATTTCTCTGTATCCTGCTCTTCCTGTTGTTTCCTTCTTCTCTTAATCCTCATTTTTTTCATCCTTTTTTTCTTTCTTGCCTTTTTGTTAAACAATAAGAACTTTGTTCAGTTCTATTTGCCCATTTCTTTCTCTATTCTTCCACTTCGTCCATTTTATTCATTTCTTTATCTTTCCCCATCCTCCTTTTTGTCCCCTTTTCCCACTTCTTTCTTACCTTCCTTATTTTTTCTCTTCTTCTACTTTTCCCACCTTTTACCCTTTTTTTCATTTTCTTTCCCTGTTTCCCTTTCCCCCTCTATTTCTCTCCTTCCTCTTTCTTTTATTCTCCTTCGATCTTTCTCATCTCTTCCTCTTCTTCCCTTTTGTTCTTCTCTTTTATCTTTCCCACTACTTTCTCCTCGTCTTTTCTTTTCCTCTCCTCTTCCACTCTCCTTACCCTTTTTCTTCTTTTTCTTCTTCTTTTTCTTCTTCTTCTTCTTCTTCTTCTTCTTCATCGTCATCTTCTTCTTGGACAGGGCGTCAGATTGGCAAGCAATGTAAACTATAATTGACACTTCAGTCACGTGTTTATCAAACAATGACAAAACAGATTGTGCGGTGAAGAAGTTTGTTGACAAATTCTTTATGACATAAATGAGGATTTTAATTTTGTTTATTGTTACAGATTTTCGAACTTAAATGTGAACAAAATCGCTGTTTGGGAAGACAGATAGATGTAATGTTATAAATATGTTGAAGTAAAACTCAGACACTTCTTGCTTGACCTGCGTCTTAATTTAATGATGCCAATTCAATTAGAAAAATTTTCTCGTTTGGAGAATATTCGACTGTTCTTTATAAATGAATGACTAAGAGCTGGCTGCCTCTCTGTTATATTATGCGTTTAATAGAGAGTTCCGTTTACGTGAATGAGGAATGAAGATCAGCAGATGTTTTTCAATCCAGACATTTTCAGTTTCCAACTGGTCTTCGAATGATATATCCTAATAAGCAATAGATTTTCCACGTCTTGCTAATGGTTTAACTTTGGGCAGAAACGTGTGTGATGGTTTTGTGTAAAAAAACCCAATTTGCGCCCTGAAGCACGTGTAAACTGCACAGGATGGTGTTAGGATTTTGAAAATGTGACTTCTGAATTTAAATACACACAGCAACCGTGATCCGATTCTAGGTCGGGAGTTAATCCCCTTTCTCTTAAGTCTTCCTTCACATGAGTGTTTAGATTTCTTTGACCCGTGGAGAAAAACATCAATATGCGTAAATATGTGACCCATTCATCTTCAGCAAGCATATTTCTCCCACAGTCCAACCCTGTTTCAATCAGAAGAACTGTTAAAGGGTTTTTACCCATGTTTCAATTTCTCGGAGTACTTTTTGAGGGTTTCTGACCTCCTACTCGCCAATCTCAAGCTAAAAAATTTGGATGTCAAATAGATATCGTATGGAAATAATATCATTAAGTATGACACTAGAAGTTATAAACTATTGATAAGTGCACGAATACTATATAACAAACCACGATTAAGGTAACTCTTCTTCCGTTGTTGCGAGGAAACAATGGCTTTCTATTTGTTAGAGGTTCCCTACAAGTCTTGCATTGGCTATAGACAATCTATTAACCAAACTAACGGCTTCAACTAGACTTGTAGAATGTCGCATCTTTGCGAGCCTGTAGAATGTCGAAAAAGCGACTGGTTTTCGGTAAGCTACACTCCTGGCAAAAAATAGCTGAGACATATGAAAGAAAAGGGACTTCGCGTGCTATATCTTCATATAATGTGCGCTGGTGACCTAAACCCCCTTCCCCCGTGGTTAATGTTGTTTAGGATGGTTACAGAATAAGTGGGGATTATAACATAAGTTGCCAATCCAATCGCAACATTAATTTGGGGGGGAAAGGGGGTGGGTGATTTGTAAGTAGCTTCTTTTTTTGCAAGTGTCTCAGCATTTTTTGCCAAGATTGTAGCTCACAATGAGTAAGTACGCTTTATCATCGCGCGCAAAAACGATCATCTAGCCATCCGATCAGACCTTCTGCTTCCGCTCTTTCTGTCTAGAATTTTGCATTTTAATGCATTCTAGTATTGGGTTCTTGTAATCAAGTATTGATTACAGAACAAGTTGAAGTTTTTGCAAAATGTGTTGCCTTTGCAAGTTGTACCAATACAGTAAATCCCCGCATATAAGAACCTACTTTTTTGAGGTTCAGGCTGAAGTAGGTTCTTATTGGCAAGGTACTTGGATTAATTTCAGGGTTTGAAGGTTCTTATTCGACGGATCCCTTATTTCAAATTTTAGGATTCATTATCAAAGGATGCATTCAACCCTGTTTTTTCCTTTTGGCAATGTTATTAATGCAACATTACAAAGATAAAGATATATAAAAAATCTGGGAGTAAAAAAGGACCATTGAAAACTCTTTTTTTTGCCCTTGGGAAGAGAACCTATTATATTTTATCACACTGTAACAGGTTCTTAATTACAAGGTGCATAATTTAGGAAAAACAGCCTCTAGGTTCTTATTTTTGTAGGTTCTTATATGCGGGGATTTACTGTAATACCGCGATATAAAACAACGATTTTCATTAGAACATGATATTGTGATTGTATTGTGATTGTATTGTGATTGTATTGTGATTGTATTGTGATTGTATTGTGATTGTATTGTGATTGTATTGTGATTGTATTGTGATTGTATGTAGCTTGAAGTGAAATGGGGTGATGTTTTTAAGTGTGGATAAAGTTAGTCAAGGTACGGTAGTGGCCGAAATACACAAGTTCAAGCTCGCTGTTTTTTATTCCACTGACGGACAACTTGTGAAAACACGATCAGTACGAAATGCTTAGTGTTTCCTGTTTAGATGTATTTTCTCCTTAGCTATTTCAAAAATCAGTAAAGTTTAGCTTCAATACCATATTTCTGACAGAATTCAAACAAAAACGAAGAGAGCAATGAATTCCTATAAACAACTCTAGAAGCTTTTTACTAGCTTTTCAAATTATTCTGCATGATATTCAATTGGAAGATGAGAACCCAAAATATTTGGTACTACGTCAGATGTCACCCGAATATTCTGCGAGCTCCATATTTCGCAACAGGGGTAAAGCCAAGAAAATCTTTTGGAGGATTAATGGGGCGATTTTAGCCGACAAAATAGGGCGTGTCTGACTCTTTAAGGGTGTGGCAAAAAGATAAATACTCTTATGCGTTTCAACTTTAAAGTTTATACTCTAGTGCCAAACTTTGAAAGTTTAACTACACAGAAATGTTAATATGTTACAATTGTTGCCAAAAGATTACAGAGTGAGTACACAAATTCCTGTTTTCGCCCAGCAAAACTTCTTAATGTGCCGACGAACAAAATGTTTGGGTTGGGGAGTTCCGCACCCCCGTTCCCCCTTTAGCGACGCCCCTAATTCACAACACATAATGAATAAATTTTAAGACTTTTAATAGATTTACGTTCAGTTTAGACCACATTGCGGAACACTTCCTTCACAAAAAAACCAGATGCATTTTTCAGTGTGCTTGCGACCTGATGATTAACTTATCACGTTCGATTTACTTTAAACATTAGATTTTGCTTCATCTTTTGCGTCAATGTATTCAAAATTTTGAGAATCTGTGTGCACTTTTTCAAAGCATTAGCTTTTAGACTGAAACTATAATTGATTTCAACTCATTCGCTGTGCGGAACAACTAAGAAGATTCTTCTGTGTATAAGTGCTTTCTTTGTTGGCGATATGCTATGAATTTCACTTTCTTTATGATCAGTGACTTGTCAAAGAATGTGCTTTAATTTGCTTTTGCCAATCAAATTCAGATGGAGGGCGTGGTAACGAAACCAATTTTTTTATCATTAAAGGGTCTTGCGTAATCGCCATGCTTAGCTGCAGCTGTCTTGAGAAATTGAATATGTATTATATTTTCATGCAGTATGATAAATAGGCTAGTTTTGGAATTATAGTCGCAAAGCATGCTGGTTGCGCAAGAGCCTTTGAGTAACTTTTCTACAGAAGATATAAACAATGTATTGTTTCGTACTCGATCAGTAGTGTATCGACGTTGTAGTAACAAGACTTGTCTTGAGCCAGCAACATGAGTGTGTAGTTTTTCCTGAATGTCTGCGTTTGTGTTTGTGCTGAACGTGCAAGTCCGTTTCCCGTTGCCTTTCGGGAGCTAAACCAAAAAGAGGCTGATTGCCCCCAAAATCCCCGTATAACATCGATTTTCGGCGCCCTCGAATTGACCAAAAGCACTTGGTCCCATAAATTTAACTCTCGGGCGACCATTATCCTATTTTCCACCTGGTCTAGAAGGTTTCGTCTCCCGAACAAGCTTTTAGCTTCTGCAATGTTGCTAACTGGTACATATTTGCTGTTTGGTGGATACGAGCAAGACTAAAAATGATGTGTCAATCCTTAAAACATTTCTATTAAATACCCCAATGACTCGAGCACAGAAATACGAGGTTTCACTATGTTGTTTCACGATCGGGCTCCTGGGAAGTTTTCAATGACATCGTAGCATTCACTCGGTAACAAAGCAAGCATAAGAAGAATTTCCCTTAGAAGAATTTATAACTCTTAGAAGGATTTCTTCAAACAAATATATAATACGCTTTGCGTAAATAAAAGAAAGTTGTTTGTATTCAATGAAATATTCTTCATGTGTGACCACTTTTATTTTCTTTTTGCTAGGCTTCTATCATGCTCAACGTTGATTTCTCTTCAATCCAGTCCAGTCGGCTTCGTGAAATCGAACTTTGCAAAATTCTTGTTTTTCTGCATCCAAATGCCTGAACCTATTTTGAAATGGAAATTAGCCCTTCGTTATTTCATGTTATTACGCTTTGCTTATTGTAAGTAATTGTATAATATTTACCTATCCATCCACGATTACGTGTGTTCTTACCTTTTGCCTTCCTGTGGAAATTGTCTTCAGTTTTTTGACAATGGTGCGAGGATGCAGGCACGTAAATAATAGGGGGGCGTGGGGGCGTAACGCCCCCCCAAAGTTTGGAAAATCCAGTTACAGTTGGAAAACGTAACGGTTGACTTGGAATTTTTTTCTTAAGACCAAACTGGTGAATTTTATATTTCAAGAAGTTTTTTAATTTAAATATAAAAATTCTAAACATTAAAATTCACAGGCTAAAGCTGACCCATCCAATCGTTTTCTATTGTGAATCCCGTCTCCACTTGATCCAAATTGCACACTTTCCCCGTTTCTTTTTCTTTCTTTCTGACGGGAGTTGAATCAAATTACGAACAGGCAAGGTGAATTTCCAGATAAGAAACTTGAAACTTACAGTTTGGAATAATAATACCCGCATTGATCAGAAAATATTAGAGTGGGAATTTTTTTAGAAACTACGAGCAGTTAATTCAATAAAAGATTAAGAATCTTTCAGTACTAAAAATTCTCAACGCTTCTTATAAAAAACGAGTTTATGCTAAACTCCCCCTGTTATTTGTTAATGTCCTTGAGTCCTTATCATAAATTCCTATGACAAAACTGCTGTGAAGCAAGAATATATTGCAAAAACTGCAGTAGAAGTATTTGATCAAAAAAGAGTGTTTCATCTTTCGAATCAGGCATATGCACAAGTTTGTTTTCAAGTCATCATTTCAATTGTAAAGAATGAAAAGGCATTTGGCCCTCTGAAAAGTTTAAAGGTAGTTTTCTTCGATCAAGAACGACAATAAAAGGCCCAAATTCTTGGTGCTTCTATATCGTGAAAAAATGTATTTTGGATAAAATTGATTAATTGATCTGAAAGAATACTACTAATCATTAAGTATATCTAATACTGGTTTTACTTAAATGTTTCTTTACTTCTTACAGTATGTTTAATGTTTGTTTCATGTTAATCAAAATTTAGAGATTTAGGCTTTTATGCTTTAGGCTAATTATTGAGTAAAGATTTGGTAATTATAAAGAAAATAGAACTATGGTGTTCGGGCTATTTACAAATGTCAATTTGGTAGGTACAACAGATTTACTGGTCGAATGAAAAATTTCTCACTTAAAGTTGGAATTTTCATCCTTCCACGCCCCTCCAAAATTAGCAACTTGCTTTCGTCCCTGGCTCAGTTGTTAGAGGCGCTGACTACAGACCCAAGGGTCCGTGCTTCGAGTCTCTGGCATGACCAAACTTTCACCCAGAGTGAGGAGAGTCACCAGCTCTCTGTAATTCCAGGCATAGGAATCACGAGGTGTGGTCACATCGAGAGGAAGGACCAGGACACTGCTCGATAAGCATAAGCTTCTCAGTGTCCTAAAAACTACCTTCGGATGCTAGGTAGCAACAAATACAAATACAATAGTTTTTTGACACATTAAAGTGCTTCTCGTCCGAAACTTGGTGATGTGATGTGATGAAAGGTAAGCAGGAATTTATATCCAGATGTAGATCGAAAGCAACGCGAGAGAAAAGATGGCACCTTACCTTAACGAGCTCGCATTACTTTAGATCCGCATCGGGATAAAGATTTCTGCTTCGGGCTTACCTTTTGATATTATTCTTCATTTGTCGGACGCAAAGAAATTAATGATGCCCTTTTTCCGCCTTTCTGTGGTTTCATCGAATAATCTTATACAGACTGGCGAAACGTATTTGAAAGTGGAAGGGCCAAAAGATCAAAGTCTTGAAAGGGATCAGGAAAGGCCACGACAATGGTTGGCAGCAAGAAAAATTTTGGAATTATGGTTTCTTAGGGATGACCAGAAACGCTATCTAAAATGGAGTTTGACTATCTGAGGCAATATATCTAAGCTTTGTTTTATCAACATGTCCCATAGTCTAGTCTATTGTAATGTCGACTTGAAATTGGACATGCCTTGCAAAGTTTTTGAATAACCTTTATAATATAGCTTGTAATAAAACTTTTTTAGATTTTGAAAGTACCAAAAATAGGATAGGTGAAAAATGAATGAAACAGGATTTATTAAAAAACATTATCATTGAAATATAAACAGAAGAACTATCAGCTAAAAATAAAAATTAAACATTTTTGAACAATTGGGATGAGCAATCAACATATCTGCCGTTCCAAGATCTTGCACCTGCATACCTGACAGATTTTAAGCCATATTGCAGAGTGTTTTTATGTGTCAGAAAAATGTCACCTTTACAGGTCTGCCTGGTATCATGTTGATGAACATTGGAAAATAAATAAAAAAAACTCATGAAAACAAGAAGGGGAGATCTTATTTACAGATTCACAAACTCTAAGGCAGTGACAGCCTCTATGATCCCAAAAATGTTGCAAGCGAACAAATCGTTTGTCAAACAGGGGTAAAAATAATAGAAGTTTGAAGACTCTTTTGTTTTCGAAATATTTTTGAATTTGGGGCAAATGAGGCTCGCCTCGTTTTAGAATTTAGCGGGAAAATTGATAGGCTATCAGAGACTGTCAGAGACAAGGAAGTTGTTTTGATAAATTAGCTGAACCTACTTTAACGACAATGGGTAAGTCGCAAATTTGTTTTTTAATTGCAACCAGTGATAATTTTATATACTTTCATCTGTTTAATTTTTGAATAAAATTGCTAGGGGCTTTCCTTAAGTAATGGCCCAACACTTTAACATTAGACACAGTCTGGTGCAGACCAGACGACTCTGTTGGGCCATAGTTAATATAGTTTTGCCAATGTCTAACATGCTCATACTTAGAAGTCTACAGAGAAACCAAATGGTCTGCTTGCAGCCTGGTTTGCCTGACTAAGAGCTGCATGCAAAATTATTGATCCAAACTTGCAGCTCAACTCCAAAGGTGGAATTGGTGGAATCCTTTTTTACGCAGGATTCTTGGTAAGAGAAGCTTCCCCCAAGACATTAAAAATTCATGATATTAATCATAAGGGGGAGAGCCGAACTTCAGCAATGGAGATAATTGGTGTAACAAGCACAGTCTTTACCCTGGCTTAACTCTGACAGCTTTATTACCCTGCTGGAAGCTCACACCTCAAAACCCCAAACGGCTCACATCACTTTCATAACCAAAACTAAATGTTTTTAGTTTAGGTCATAGACATGAGATAATTACTACAAAAACAGATTATAAGCACATCTCTCTAGTCAAGTTAAAATATGTAGGGAGAAATATTTTACAATGATTTCCAAACAATACAAAAGTGCAATTTATCTTTTTAAATGATTGAGTCATGGTGAATAGTCTTTCTTCGTTGTTGGCCATTCGTGATTGGTGTGATCGCTGTGGCTTTGTGTGATATCTGCATCCTTTGTTGAAACCTTGCTATTGGCAGAAGCCATGTTGTGATTTAGTTAGAAGCAACGTCATGTGATAAATGCCAGGCCCACCAATAGCATTGTAGCATAAAGATTATGACTCAATGCGTTTGGGTATATCCTTTTCTTTTATCATGGGTCCATACCTTTAAATATTTAGAGCCTCACATTTTGTTCAATTGAGCATATGAATGAACAGCAAATAAACTGAATCTAATCAATTTATAACTGCTAAATTTGAGGATTAGAGAATTTTGGCATGAAAGGTACCTCATGAATGGAAATAGGCTTTGACAAATAAAACAACTTAAAAGCAAGCTAAAGTATATCATACTCTTATGAAAAAACATATTTATTACATATTTATAGATATTGCTACCACTTATTGGGATACAGTGTTGTCAAGGATGCATCCAAGACAATAATTTATGCTAGAGCAAGGGTGTGGTGGTCCACCAGGGCTCGGGGGATTTCCTGGTGGGAACCTCAAAACTTTTCATTTGGGCCCCTTAGATTTTTCTTCCTTTTAAGCTTTTATCATTCTTAACATCAGATTTGTGCGAAAAAGCAAGTGAAGGAAGGCCCCACGCATTTCCAACATATTATGAGTAATGACAACAAGAAATGTTCAATCAACATCAAAATGGCATGCCCCTAAAAACTTGATTTTCCCAGCCCATAAAAATTCCCACCACACCCCTGTGCTAAAAATGTTTTATGATAAAAATGAAGCTCAAAAAAGTATGCTAAAAGCAAGTAGACATTTTCTCAATTTTGTGTCACACTTAGAACTTAAAATAACTGTCTGAGAAACAATAACAATAGAAACAAAAACATTTCAATTCAAGGATTTCCTATTTTGCTAATATACAGAGAGACTCTATTTTCTCTTCTAAATTTTAGTGCTTTTCTGTGAAAAGGGTGTGCTAGCAGCATTTAAGGGCAGATAAGGATAAACTGCTGTTAAACATTGTTTGTTTTATATATGCATTCTTTTGAATATTAACAGCATTTAAACTTAGCATTTTATCATGCCGAATTTAGGGTTTTCATGATTTCATATCTGTTGCCTGTTGCCTGTAAGATTTCATATCTGCTTTGAACATTAAACATTGATTCAATTTGACATTAAAGGTAATGTGTCCATATAAAAGGACTGCGTATACCCAACTTGTCAAGCCACCCATCAAAATAACAGTTTGCGATTGGTTAGTATTCTTGCGATGCAAAACTGCTCACATGAAAAGCTAACCTTGCAGCAGGATAAATAAACAGAACGACCGTAATAACTGGGGCGATGACATGAAAAATTACATGTTTCTAAAAACCCCCGCAGAGTCGCTTGCTATAGCTGGACATGTTACCTTTAAACATTTTTCAAGATCTAAAGGCCGGGTTACATGATCACTTTTTACCATGACTTTTTTTTATATTGGACCAACATGCTGAAAAGTGATCGTGTAACATACTAAAATTGTCCATTTTTGCCGCAGAATTTACTGTGCTTATCAGGTGCTAATCCTCTATCATTGGAAATTTTACTCTGCATGAAAGCAAAGTAAAATCGAGTTCATCACAGGCGCCGACTAAGTGGGGGCTCAGGCCCCCCTTGGGAATTACTATGGGGGGGGCTCAGCCCCCTTTGGGAATTTTGTTTGA